CAGAACATATTAACTGTTGGAAATTCCTTAAAATATGGATTTGGCAACAGACATGGTGATCCTACAGAAATAGGAACTGGAAATGACTATATTATAGGTAGGATTTTAAATGAACTCTCCAAAGCCTTTGATTATATTTGTCGTTTTTAATGGCTTATAATAGCTTTGACTGAATTTTGTGTGTTGCCCAGTCACATGCACGAGAAGGACAGCTTTATAAATATATTAAAGAAATAAATAAAATATAACAGCAGTACTCTTCCTCTCTCTTTCCTGGCTATTCTTATTGTGCTAGGAATGGTTGCTTCTTTCCTCCCTTAATAACTTTGTCCTTCTTTTGAGCAGGGTCTTGGGGACTCTGTTTATAAAGGTAGTCAGAGTGATATCTATATACTATTAAAGCTCTCTGGTTTGTCTCTGTGTAAGCTTTAAATGGTCAAAACTGTGTCATACAGCAATCATTTTTAAACCAAGATACCTAAAATGGGCTTATTTACACTGCAAAATCTGGAACCCATGGCTTCTGTGGAATTGAAGTTAGGCAAAATTTATATACCATTTTATGACATAAAATTATCATAAGACATATTAGGACATAATACAAAATGTCACAAAATATTTCCTTTGGTCAAATGCTGATCTTTGACCATGCTATATAGTTCAACATTTCAATACCTCCATGAATTTTTAACAACTTTTCTAGTGAAGACAGTACATTAGGAGCTCTGTTATGTTCAAGGCATTGAAGAAAGTGGTAAGGTGATATCTCTGAAAAAATGACCCAATGGCTTATGGATTCTCTGGCATTAACTGTATAGGACAAGGAAGTTCTCATTTCAAGTCCATCTTCACTCACAATGCCTTAGGCAACTTTGGTATTTAGTGACTATCAAATCAAATCAAATTAATAACCTGGATTGGAGAAAATATGGAAGTTTTGAAGAAAAAGTGAGATATACATCTAAGAAATAAATAAAATAAAACTTTAATTTATTTATATTTCCCTAACTTGGATTATCATTTTAATCTATGTTAATGCAATATTGGGAGAGTTTAGATAGATACAGTACTTTATTAGACAGAGTAAAATGAAACGAAGGATGAGGACTATAGATAAGTCTGCAGTTGATATGGAAGAGAGGCTACTAATGGAGATGTAATGACACTTTATCACTTACACAGGTAAAAGGTAACATGCATTTATAGCTATATGCTTTTTTCTGTGACCTTTCAGGAATTGAAAGCCAACGCAGGTGTGGAAGCATTATACATCATTGGTAAAAAAACTGAGCTTCAAACAGGAGTTCATCTCCCTGAAATATCACCAGCGGACATTTCAAACAGGACATTCATGGGTAAAAACCATAGTTCACTATAAATATTGAACTGTAAAGATAATAGAACATACCTTTTCCTTAAGGATTCAAACATAGTGGCCTCATGCTTTGTTTAAAACTGCTCTGTGTTGCTGTGAACAATGTCTATTTTTCAGAAGAAATCCAGAATTTGGCATGTTTCTTGGAGAAATTATTTAAACTGAAAGCGCCAATTTAAATAATTTGTGACGCTTGATAGAATAATGTGCTTTTGTTACTGTTGTTTGTCTAAGTGATAATGCATATTCCTAAATAGTTATTGTTGAAATAACGTTTTTTGCAGGATTACAAAGTGAAGAGAATGGCTCAAGGGTAGAAAAAAACATCCAGGATGAAAACAGAGAAAGGCAGAAGAGCAGGAGAGAAAGGCAAGGGTTGGACTTATTCAAAGAAGAGTTTAATGAATTAAAGGCTGGACCATCATTTTTTTCTATAAATCATGTTATGTCCCAAGTAAACAATTTGGAAGATCTTGCAATGGAAAAACAGGAAAACAAAGAAGATAAGGAAGCAAAAGAAGAAAATTTGCATCAGGGATATCCCTCAACTGATCCCTTAAGCAACCCAAGGATCTTTTTAGGAGATTATGAGCCCTCATTTACCAAATTTCAAAATGAGAGACCAAAAAACAACCCTTCACCTCCTGTTGAAGAAAACAGGCCGAAGATTCCACCAGAAAAGAAAAGGCTTCTGTTGGAAAAACTATTTGGTCGAAACCGCATTTTAAATAACAAATGATGGCTGGGATTCCAGTCAAGCGGATAGATATTAGATAATAATCAGAGAATATTAGAACTAGGACATATTAGAGTGTAGATAGAGGATAGTATTAGAACTAGGATATATTAGATAGTAGGTATTAGATAGTATTAGAACTAAGTGATATTAGCTAGTAGATATTAGTATTAGAACTAGGATATATTAGATAGTGGATATTAGCATTAGAATATATTATATAGTAGATATTATATAGTGTTAAAACTAATCAATATTAGGTATTACTAGTGTTAGAATGAAGATAGATAGTAGATAATAGAATTAAGTGATATTAGCTAGTAGATATTAGTATTAGAACTAGGATATATTACATAGTGGATATTAGTATTAGAATATATTATAGATAGTAGTTATTAGATAATATGAAGACTAGGAGATATTAGAAGTTTCTATAGTTACTATTGCAATAAGCATCACAAAAAACTTTTGTTAATTTTTTGCACATTTTTATAAAACATATATTAAAGGAATTTTGAAAAAGATGTTTTATGACATGCTTATCAATCAAATCTTATCAAATAAGAATTTCTTGAAGCATCTTTCTTTCCTACTTGAAATGAATAAAGGAGAATATTTTTTGCAGCTTATAGTCAGTGATGCTGTTTCACCACACGAGGGAGCCCAAAACTGTAATCTAATTATATTTACTAGACCAATTGGATTTAATGTTATAAACTTAATTTTAAAATTTTAGCTATGTTTTAGGGCAATGGTTACACATAAAAGAAATGAAAGAAGATTATCAGGAGAAGCTGAGCTTTCAAGTGCTTTTTTGGATGAATATATAAAAACAAATGAAGTAATTCAGGCAATGGGAACAAAGCTTGAACTGTACTCTAACCATTGAGCCATGGTGACACAGTGGTGTCGCAGGATTAATGTTCTCTCATGCCATGCTGTCATTTTACAAATGAGTTAAATGGTGTATTTTGCAGCAAAAAGTGTAAGTCACAGGCAAATTTATTTATATATATGTCAAATTTATATAGCATATCTGCCCATCACACTAGAACTACCTATAGTTTAACATCCCATTATAGCTATTTGTATTAGTATCTAGTAAAATGCAATAAAAGCAATATGAAAGCGTGAAAATTAAATCACTTCAAACATGTTAGTAAAATATCACTTGAATGTGTCATGTTTATTTATTTTTGATGTTTCATAGTTGTTAAAGTCAGCAAAGCAATCCAGGGAAATATCAGCCTGAAACCCAGAACTCTTCGGAAGCGTGAGCCTGAAGGAAGTCCGCTGAGCTTCCACGAGGTATGAAACAGCTGAAAAATCCTTTTATCATTCTTAACTTCTGATGATTTGTAAGTTTTGGTTCCGCTGATAATTTCCCTCTTGTAACATGAATCTTCTACTCTTTTTTTGCAGACAATTTATTACTATGTTACAAACGTAATTTTGTTTTCAGAAAGGAAGCTCAGGGATGCAACTTGAAAATTTCTTATTGTATTAATAGGAAATTCTTGGGATAATGTGTGGATTGTGATACTATTTTATACTGATCCATGTTTTGATCCTGGTTTGCTGAAGAAATAATGTCTAGTTCGCTCAAAATGCCAAAAGGACAACCATAAAAAAATTCAAAGCAATTCTCCAAATAAAGCTATTTCTGATTCACTTGCATGCCCAGTGAGGAAGTTCAGGGAAGGTTTTGGCCTAGCTGCCATCTTTTTGAGGTAGCTTAGCTGCCATCTTTTTGATTCTGTATCATGTAACCCTGAGCATAGCATGTAGATCTGTATGTTAGAATGTTTGGCATTTATTGGGTGAAGTGCTGTCTCCGTAAGAGATGGCTTATGGGTAATGTAGTTTTAGCTGTTAACAGGTCTGTGGGAGGAGTTATTGAGCTCTTTACAGGATATCCTGGCCATGTGCCAGTTTGGAATGCCTTTATCTGAGATAAGCATGGGACCACCAGAGCAGGGCTTTTCAACCTTTTCATCCATTGTACCCCCCCAAAGGAAAAAAGTGATGAAGTACAGGTAGCCTTGGACTTTTCTAGGATGGTCGCGTACCACCTGCCAGGTGCCAATGTACCACAGGTGGTACCTGTACCACTGGTTGAAAAGCCCTGCACCAGAGGACTCAGATGGTCTCATTCCACGTTAGAAATTGGTGTGGAGGGAGTATTAATTTCTTACCTATAAGGATGAACAGATGTATAATATCCAGAAGCAACAACCATAACTGCAAGTATTTCTGAATAAAATGTCTGTTTTATAATCATTCTTATTGAGTTATCTATATGATCTGGAATTACAAAGCAACTTAACTCTGGATCAGAACAGGGAGGCTTCACGTTCTGAGTCTATTAACTGTTGGAAATCCCTTAAATATGGTTTTGTCAGTGGACTTGGTGATCCTACAGAAATAGGGAACTGGAAATGACTATATTATAGGTAGGATTTTAAATGAACTCTCCAAAGCCTTTGATTATATTTGTAGTTTTTAAATGTTTTTAATGGCTTATAATAGCTTTGACTGAATTTTGTGTGTTGCCCAGTCACATGCATGAGACGGATAGCTTTATAAATATGTTAAACAAATAAATAAAATATAACAGCAGTACTCTTCCTCTCTCTTTCCTGACTATTCTTATTGTGCTAGGAATGGTTGCTTCTTTTCTCCCTTAATAACTTTGTCCTTCTTTTGAGCTGGGTCTTGGGGACTCTGTTGATACAGATAGAGTGATATCTGTATACTATTAAAACTCTCTAGTTTGTGTAAACTTTAAATAGGCAAAACAGTATGTCGTAGGGCAATCATTTTTAAACCAAGATACCTGAAATGGGCTTATTTACACTGCAAAATCTGGAACCCATGACTTCTGTGGAATTGAAGTTAGGCAAAATTTATATACCATTTTATAATATAAAATTATCATAAGACATATTAGGACATAGTACAAAATATCACAAAATATTTCTTTTGGTCAAATGCTGATCTTTGACCATGCTATATAGTTCAACATTTCAATATCTCCATGAATTTTTAACAACTTTTCTAGTGAAGACAGTACATTAGAAGCTCTGTTATTGTTCAAGGCATTGAAGAAAATGGTAAGGTGATATCTCTGAAAAAATGACCCAATGGCTTGTGGATTCTCTGGCATTAACTGTATAGGACAAGGAAGTTCTCGTTTTAAGTCCATCTTCACTCACAATACCTTAGGCAACTTTGGTATTTAGTGACTATCAATCAAATCAAATCAAATTAATAACCTGGATTGGAGGAAATATGGAAGTCTTGAAGAAAAAGTGAGATATATATCTAAGAAATAAATAAAATAAAACTTTTATTTATTTATGTTTCCCTAACTTGGATTATCATTTTAATCTATGTTAATGCAATATTGGGAGAGTTTGGATAGATACTTTATTAGACAGAGTAAAATGAAACGAAGGATGAGGACTATAGATCAGTCTGCAATTGATGTCGAAGGGAGGCTACTAATGGAGATTTAATGACATTTTATCACTTACACAGCTAACAGGTAACATACATTTATAGATCTATGCTTTTTTCTGTGACCTTTCAGGAATTGAAAGCCAACGTAGATGTGGAAACATATATCATTGGTAAAAAAAATTGAACCTGAAAGAGGAGTTCATTCCCCTGAAACATTTTAAACAGGACATTCATGGGTAAAAACCATAGTTGACTATAAATATTGAACTGTAAAAAATCACAGAACATACCTTTTGCTTAAGGATTCAAACTTAATGGCATAATGCTTTGTTTTAAACTGCTCTATGTTACTGTGAATTATGTCTATTCTTCAGAAGAAATCCAGAATTTGGCATGTTTCTTGGAGAAATTATTTAAACTGAAAGCGCCAATTTAAATAATTTGTGACGCTTGATAGAATAATGTGCTTTTGTTACTGTTGTTTGTCTAAGTGATAATGCATATTCCTAAATAGTTACTGTTGAAATAACATTTTTTACAGGATTACAAAGTGAAGAGAATGGCTCAAGGGTAGAAAAAAACATCCAGGATGAAAACAGAGAAAGGCAGAAGAGCAGGAGAGAAAGGCAAGGGTTGGACTTATTCAAAGAAGAGTTTAATGAATTAAAGGCTGGACCATCATTTTTTTCTATAAGTCATGTTATGCCCAAAGTAAACAATTTTGAAGTTGCAATGGAAAAACAGGAAAACAAAGAAGATAAGGAAGCAAAAGAAGTTGTTTCTGATGAAGTAATAACAGCAATACCATGGCATAGACCATCTACCTTGAAAAAACACTATGTATTTACAGAAGCCACTGAAAATTTGCATCCGGGATATCCCTCAACTGGTCCCTTAGTCAAACCAAGGATGCCATGCAGTGGAAGACCAAGAAACCGGCAACAGGGTGAATTAACCCACTTTTTGGAAGATCCTGTCACCAATTATGAGCCCTCATTTGCTAAATTTCCAAACAAAAGACCAAAGGACAAGACTTTAACTCCCGGTGAAGAAACCACACCGAAGATACCGCCAGAAAAGAAAAGGCTTCTGTTGGAAAAACTTTTTGGTTCAAATAGCATAGTTAGCAAATGATGGCTTGTGTTATGTTATTCCTATCAAGCGGATAGATATTAGATAATAGAGATCAGAGAGTATTAGAACTAGGACATATTACATAGTAGATAGAGGATAGTATTAGAACTAGGATATATAAGATAACAGATATTAGATAGTATTAGAACTAAGCGATATTAGATAGTAGATATTAGTATTAGAACTAGGATATATTATAATAGTGGATATTAGTATTAGAACTAGGATATATTACATAGTGGATATTAGTACTAGAATTAGGACATATTAGATAGTAGATATTAGTTAGAATTAGAACTAAGCAATATTAGGTATTAGATATTAGAGTTAGAATTAGAATATATTAGATAATAGATATTAGATAATATAAAAACTAGGAGATATTAGAAGTTTCTGTAGTTACTGTTGTAATAAGCATCACAAAAGAACTATTTTGTGAACGTTTTGCACATTTTTAATAAAACATACAAAAAGGAATTTTGAAAAAGATGTTTTATGACTTATGCTCATCAAATTGTACTTCTAAACAAGATTTCCTTGAAGCCTCTTTCTTTCCTATTTGAAATGAATAAAGGAGAATATTTCTTTGCTGTTTATAATCAATAGTGGCATTTCACCACACGAGGGAGCCAGCGTCTGTAATCTAATTATATTTACTATACCATTTGGAATTAATGTTATAAACTTGATTTTTAAATTTAAGTTATGTTTTGGGGCAATGGCTAAACGTAAGAGAAATGAAAGAACTGAAAGAAGATTATCAGGAGAAGCCAAATCTTCAAGTGTTTTTTGGGATGAACATCCAGCAAAAACACATGAAGTAATTCAGGCAATGGGAACAAAGCTTGAACTGCATTCTCACCACTGAGCCATGGTGACACAGCGGGTAGAATCCAGTAACACAGGCTAACTGTCCACAGCCTGGAGTTCAATCCTAACAGGGCTCAAGGTTGACTCAGCCTTCTGAAGTCGCTAAAAGGAGGACCAGATTGTTGAAGGCAACATGCTGACTCCGTAAACCACTTAGAGAGGGCTGTAAAGAACTATGAAGTGGTATATAGGTCTAAGTGCAAGCAGTGAAATAAGTTATGTATGACTGCAACCATTTTGCTGAGTCATGTCACTGGGACTGATTCTACAGCTGGGATATTAAGATAGGAAAGCTTGGGGAATTTCAAAGTGGCCGGAGAGGGGGTGGAGAGAGGGAGAGAGAGAGTGATTGGGGGGCACATCTTTAGTCAAGGGCTTCGAACATGGAGCAGCATCACTCCTTTCTTAAAGAGCAATCAAGTAGCTTCCGAAGAGTTATATGGAGAAGCACTGCATATGCTTACCACAAACATTGCCACAAACCCATTAATCACTATTTTGACACGAGAGACAGACTTGCCGGAACAAGCGGGGCTGCGGCGTCTAGTGGGCACAAAACCACAGAGGGTCAGTGACAGTGCAGCAGATTGGCAAGCAGAGAGAATCCCCAGGGCATCTCCACTTCTCCTAAGCTCAGCTGGTCTCTCCTCCTTTCCCCCACCTCAGTTCAATTGGCTCTCGGCTATTTCCAGAACTGAAGAACCAAGAGATGATTGATTTGTGAGAGACTTCAACTCTTCATCACTTTAGATTGACGTGTTAGCAGTCTTTCAAAGGCCAGGGACTTGCAAAACACCAATCATTGCAGGTTGCTGGAGTGGGTGTGAGGGCAGAAAGAGGAGGCACAAGAGGAGGACAAGGAGAATCTATTTCCTTAAGGATTGGTAAGACAAAAACTGGTCTTGACAGTTTTTTCTTAAATCAGGGCATTCAAGGATCTTCCTTACTCTTCAGGTGAGAAGAAAATTCTCCAAGATGTAAAATCCTGAAAGATATGTTCTACACTGCCTTAAAAAATAAAAGGACAATATGGTTTTCAAAGTCTTCAATCCAATTCCATATTCTCCTTGGTTTCTAAATGTCTAGTAAAAAAAAAATAGATACTTCAAATTCTACAGAAGATTCATACTTTTCAGAGTCGATGGTACAAGTAATCAATCTCTCTGAGAGCAAAGAAAGGATGGCTGCTCTTTCGTTGCTTGACATATTTGAAGTAGTAGAAGAAAAGGAATATAGAGGATTAAATCGCAGACTTTACAGGAATTCTTGGAGAAATAACATTAGTCATTAAAGTCAGGACAGCAACATTTGCCCATACAACATTTGCCCATACTGATTTTTTTTTAATTGAAATTTTTATAAACTTTTTACAATGAAATCCCTCCCCACCTCCCTCCCTCCATCCCCCCTTACCCCTCCCCCCTTTCCCAGAGCTGAATGCAGAGCTAAAAACAGAAAAAGAAAAAACATAAAAATTAAATAAACGTCAATCAACTATACATAAATCCTAAAAAATTAAAAAAACTCCTTTAACTCCATTACATTAAAATCCATAACAACTTTACACTATAAGTTATTCAAAAGCTAAATAATACTTTCTAATCCCATATTTATTCTGAACAAAATTTACCCATCTTTTCCATACAGAATTATATCTCTCTTGTGAATGGTCTTTCTGATAAGCCAAAATTTTAGCCATTTCTGATAAATAAGAAACTTTAAAAAACCATTCCTCTAAGGTAGGCAAGGAATCTTTTTTCCAATATTGCCAAATCAATAACCTTGCTGCCGTAATAAAATTCAGCATTAAAATAATCTCTTTACTATCACAATCTTCAATAATACCTAACAAAAATAATTGTGGTGTAAATTTTATCCTTCTATTAAAATTTTTTTGAATATTCCACCAAATCTTAATCCAAAAAGCCTTTATGTTTCTACATGACCACCAAATATGATAATACGTTGCATCCATAAAACCACATCTCCAACATTTGGGCTGTAAATTGGGATACATACGAGACATGTTTTGTGGATCAAGGTGCCATATATAAAATATTTTATAAAAATTTTCTCGTAAATTTTGAGCTTGGGTAAACTTAACATTCCTCACCCAAATTATCTCCCATGTATCTAATGAAATCGGCTCTTCAAAATTTTGAGCCCACTTAACCAGACAATCCTTAACTAATTCTGTTTCTGAATCCAATTCCACCAAAACATTATAAACTCTTTTTATATGGGCTCGATTTTGATCTCTAATTTGTTTCACCAAATTCACATCTTCCGCAATAAAACCCACTTTTTGATCTATACTCCATCTTTCTCATAATTGCCTATACTGAAACCATGAATAAATAATATTTTCTTGCATTAAGTCCTCCATCGATTTTAATTGCCACTTATTCCCTTCCCACTTAGTCAATTGCTTATAAGAAATCCTATCCATTATCACTCCTTTCCTTATCCCTTCTATAGCGTGCCCAGGAATTCCCCACAGTGGTATTCTAGAATTTAACCTATAATATTTCTTCCAGACATGCAGTAAAGCAATTCTTAAAACATGGGATTTAAAAACCCTATCCACCTTTTTATTATAAATTAAATACGCATGCCATCCAAATAATAAATCCCATCCTTCCCCAAAAAGTATATCTAAGTTTGTTAAGTTAACCCAATCACTAATCAAAGTCAAAACCACGGCATCATAATACAATTTTAAATTCGGCACCTTGAGTCCACCTCTCTCTCGAACATCTTGAATAATTTTAAGCTTAACTCTTGGTTTTTTCCCAGCCCAAATGAATTTGTTAATACCCTTCTGCCATATTATTCATTTGAATCAAAACCCCCCACATATAAGCCTTACTTGCATCCCACACCATTGACATTGAAGTTCCCTTACCCATATTTAAAGTAAAAAATTCCTTTAAATGTTCTCTAAGTTTCAATACATTCACTTCATATCTAAATAAATTTTCATTCAACCTCCACGATCTTCTTTCCTCCTTTTCAGGAATTAATTCCAACCATATAGGACTATGATCAGTAAGTGTCCTTGGAAAATTTTTTACATTTTTAACACTGAAATATAAATCCATAGTAATAAAAAAAAGTCAATTCTTGAAAACGATTGGTGCCTATCAGAAAAAAAAGTAAAGCCCCTCTCCTCCATATTACGCTCCCGCCAGATGTCTCTCAATTCCAAATCTTCTTTCAGTTCAAAAAAAGCCTTTGGTAATTTAGCTTGCTTGAAAAAAGTAGAAGATCCTTTCTTATCTTTATATGTATCCAAAACACCATTCCAATCTCCCATGAAAATCACGGATTTATAATCCAATGAGATCAATTTTTGATGTAAAAGCTTATAAAACTGTTTTTGTTGTTGATTAGGAGCGTACAAGCCCACTATAAGCAATTTCTTTCCATATAACACCACTTCAATCATGACATATCTTCCTTGTAAGTCTGAGTCTATTAATTTAGCTGACAAATTTTTCTTAACATAAATAACAACACCTCCTTTTTTCTCTGGAGCAGAAGATACAAAATGAGAGCCCAATCGGGTATTTATCAAATATTTTTGATCCTTTTAAATAATATGAGTTTCCTGCAAACAAACAATATCATTATTATATTGCTTCAAATAATGAAATATTTTCTTTCGTTTCTGAGGAGAATTTAAGCCATTAACATTCCAGGTCAGGAGCTTTGCCATCTCCTCCAGCTGCAAGCCTGGAGAAGACTGCTTGAAGATCTAACATTGAGGATCGAATCGAAGATCTCTTGGGTCTTGCTCCTCCCACAGGCTCAGAAACAAATTCCTGAGTAGACTCTTTTATACCCATCTCATGTTGCTCTTTTTCTCTTTGTCTATGAGCTGCTCGGGTCATTCTCTGGTCTTTCACCTCACCAGGCTGCTGCACAACCTGTAATTTTCCAGCTTTCATTGATGCAGCATCTCCAGCCAATTGCTCTCCCTCTTTCACATCAAGAACTTTAAAGCGTAAAGGTGGTGGTGACCGAGCTCCCAGGACAGACATATAAAACTCTTTTGCCTTTGCAACTGTATTAAGTCTATAACGTGTCCCCGCATGGCTCACCACAATTCCAATTGGGATATCCCATCTGAATGGCATCTGCTGTTTTTTAAGTTCCTCTGATAGAAAAGCAAAATCTTTCCTTCTTCTTAAAATTTTTGATAGAATCTCTTTTAAAATTATCACATCCTGAGCAGCGATCTGAAATCTCTGGTTGTAAAATGCTTGTATTACTTCATTACGTAAAGATCTTTTTCCAAAATAAACCACTACATCTCTTGGTAAATTTCTCTGCTTTGCAATCCACAAATTAACTCTAAATATTTTCTCTATTTCCCTCAATATCTCCTCTGGTTCCCTCTCAAGTATCACAGCAATATCATTTGCCACCACCTCCCTCAAATTTTCTTGCATGTTTTCCCTCAAGCCTCTGATTCTCAAAGCGAACTCCATTTCTCTGTACTGAGACATGAGAATTTCATCCTGTGAAGTCTCCACCGTTTTTTCCACATTTTCAACACATTCTTCTATTATATCCACTTTATCAACAACATCCTCAATGCGGTTGTCCAACTTTTCAACAACAGAGGCAAGTCCTTGCAAAGCCATTACTATGTCCTCCCTCATAACTCTATTTCTCTCATTCAAAAGTTCCTTCATTTCTTGTCTAATTTGACATACAACATTACCCATAACATCTTGAATATCTTTTACCGTGAGTGATGGTACCGGCGGTGAGGGTGGTGGTGATCTAGCTTTAGGTTGTTGAACTGTAAGTATTGCCGGAGAGGAAGCCACCTTAGGCACAGCAGAAATTGCTTAACACTTCGAAGCCATTTTAAGAAAAACTTTTCTCCAAAGAAAAAATCCAAAAGACCAGAAAAAAAAGAAGAGGGAACAAAAACCCTCTTGTAATTATATATACAAAAAGGGAAATAATAGTATATTTACCATTCTCATGCAGCCATTAAAAGTCCAAAATTACCACTTTGTAACAATCAAAAAAAAAAAAAAAAGAGTTGCATGAGAAGGAAAAACCTCTCATCGCCATTTTACTTTCCCCTTATAACAAAAACAAAAGAAAAACTCTTCTTCCAGGAGTTAAAGTTCAAATTAAACTTATAAATCCGTTCCCCTGATCAGCTCGGTCCGCTTTCAAAATTAACTCACTGGTTAACATAAGTTGCGGAGGTGCAAACAAAGTGGGTTGCATTGATGGACATGGAGGAAGCCCCGGCAATGATGTATTTAGAGTTACCAGTTCTGTGACTACTATTGGCTTTGTCAATATGGTCCTGCCTGACCCCTTTTCTGGTCCCTAACTACTGCTCTTCATGTTCATTCTTGTTTTGCCAGTGTGGGAAACTAAATTGTGGTGTAATTCTCCTTTTTTAAAAATGATGTTCAGAAAGAATTACAAATGAATTCTAAAAAGTGTCAGTATGTCAGTTGATAAAAGTCTTGAACAAGATGGTTGATGGTAGCTGGGACTTGGAATCCAAATGCTAAATCCATGTCTTAAAGATATTGGTAGTCCTTGGTTAATAACAGCAATTAGAGCCAGAATTTCAATTGCTAAGCAACATGATTTTACAGTGCGACATTACATGATTATGCTGCCTAGTAATAGCCGCTTAAATTGCTGTCATTAAGTGAAACCTGCACTGTCATTAAGCATGATATTACATGGTTCCCATTTGCAACCTTCTGCCAGCTTCCCCAATGTCTTTGCTTGTCAGAGGTCAGCACTGAAGGTCACAAACGGCAATCACATGACCATAGCATGCTGAAACATCGAAGTCCAATCCAATCACCAAGCACCTAGATTGTGATTATGTGATCAGAAAGGTGCTCTCACAGCTGCAACTATGAGGACAGGTCATCAATTCCCATTCATTCAGCACCATGTACGGCAGACTGCTCCCATAGTTCTTATCAAACTGAGATGAAATCTGGATAATTTGGAGTCATAGATGCAAGGGGGGGTGAAGGGCTAAGAAAATAGAAAAAAGAAAAGAAATCATCTTGTTTTTCTTGACCTCAACAGCCAATAAAATTGCTTTCTAGTAATCATTGGTTACATTTTAATTTTGATGAAATTAAAACATTCTTCCAGTTACAACTATATTATTGTGGCGCGTTGCACAGTCAACCAGATGTCCAGACTGGATTTGGAAGTTTCATTCACCTATCCAGTCCTTCTCAAGGACATGGCAGAGGCGTTATTACTATGCTTCAGCACACAGTCAGCCAGACGTTAGACTAGATGTGGTATTTTATCACCTACCAAGTCCTTCCGAAGGGCCTGGGGTAGGCAAGTATATGTGTTACATAGTGTTAAAGGTATTGTCACAGGATGGAACCTGTGCCAAGCAAAGCTGCCTTTGGCAACTGACTGAGGGTGATTTTGTCAGTGCCGATGGTATTTAAGTGGTGTCCTAGTTGTTTTGGGATGGCATCCAAGCCACATATTAATTTTGCTCTGTTTTGCTACAATAATTCTAATTCTGTTTACTGGTCTTTGAACTTTGTTATTTTCTCCAATTCTTTCTCTGCTTTTCTGCTGTCTACAAGAATTGTCATATCCTCTTTCCGGACATCATCATTCTTATTCTTATTCATTTGCCACCCAACTTATGGTTCAAGGTGACAGCTAGCTAAAGGAGCAACTTTGTCTTCATTTTTTCCTAGCAGCATATTACAGGTAATGGTCACCCAACAGCATTCACATAAAAACCCTTTAGTTTTCTTAGTTGTGTTTTTCTTAAAAACTGGATGGAAAGGGGAAATTTTCCTATGGCTTACTTAAAATGCTCTGTTTGGAAAAATCTTACTGCAATTTAAAATTACATATATCAGTCTCCTCTGACTTTTTGTTTGAAGTCTGTAATTAAATGCAGATTTAAAAACTTAAACACTAACTGGTATCTTCCAAAGAGAAAGTTACTTTTGGGATTGGAGAAAACTCCTGAGAAAACCGTGGTCAGCCAAGAGAACAAATCAGTCAATCATCGAATAAACCAGCTCAGAGTTTTCACTCAAGGCACCAATGACCAAACTCAAATTATCCCACTTGGGACACATTATGCAAAGACCAAGCCCTCTGGAGAAGGTTCTAGTGCAAGGAAATGTGGAAGGGGAAAGAACAGGGTGACCCACAGCAAAGTGGATGGACTCGGTTACTGGAATCAAGAGTGCATCGTTGGAGGGCCTAAAGGACCAGATTACGAGCAGATAATGATGAGGTTGCTAAAAAGCGATCAAAACTCCTTTCTTCTTCCAATTTATCACCTTGCCAAATGAACACTTCTGAAAAATGCGAAAAACTCAATTTTGTGATCTTAGATTGTCCAATTAAAGTTGTTCCCCTAACGTGCATTTTACAATGCTTTCTATCATATATAAATTTATACCCTCCATCAATTTACTCAGACCAAATTTCACTGTACTCGGTGGAGCCTACACTAAAGTACGCATGCATATCTTTACATACTTTTTTGGGCTTGCTTGATAGGATAGATATTTACCATGGAAAATTAAAATATTTATAAAATGCTTTAAAAATTTTGGCTTTAATTCTGTTTGCTTTTTGATTAAATCAAGAAAATGGAACTGGTCCTCTTTCATAGGCCAGGATTGAGGAGTAATACGCCCAGTAGAAAAACATAATTTATTGAATGACTGCAGTGAGGAGCAGGAAGGAAACTGAAGATGACAAAGTTATGAAAACGCCTCCTTAACGTCTGCCATCTTACCTTTTCCTTCCATTCAACTTTGCCTTACAGTCCCATGATGCTCAGAGAACAAGTTCTCTAGTTGCCATGGTAGCAAAGATCTAAACATCAACTTCTTTGCCAACGAAGCCCAAGAACTGGGTAACGTGAATAAACGGACCACGGGTAGAAGTCTCTGCCTGGCATCGTAGGAAGGAAGTGTAAACCCTGGATGCTTAGCAGAGCCTTCGATTTCCATTCTCTGGGCAATCGAGGAGTGTTTGTTTCGGCTTGTGGGTAAGCAAAGACAGCAACAGTTAAAGGGAAGCGAAAAGACGTGGAAGATAAAGGCCTGGTAGAAGAGCTCCTGCTAGGGACATGGAAAATGGAGCAGCTACGTTTCCCCTCCACATTGAATTGTGCTGTCAACTTCTCTTATGTCCATTGTTTGGCTCGCTGAAACCGTGCAATTCTAACAACATATTTTCCTATGTCACCCATATTTAATTAAATGATTAAAGAACTGAAGTCAGAAAAGAAATATGAGACTGAAAAGTATTATCTTGCTTATGAGTAGATTTTAGGTTATTATTAATAGTTTAATATGATTGAATTTATATTATTTTTAGTGTTATGGTTTAATTACATTATTATTTTAATTTTTAATTTGTTAATATTTGTTTTGAAAAGGAGTTAAAGTATGTTATGGTTTGATTAATAGTACAGGCGGCTAATGTTAGTTAGATTATGATTGTTTATTTTTTACCCTGTAGTCAGCTCTGGGAAGTGGGGGAGGGGGGAAGGGGTGGGAGGGGTTTGGGTTATATTGTATTAAATTTGTAAAACTTTTAATAAAAAAAAAGAACTGAAGTCAGAAATACCCCAAAATGATAGTGTTTATAAATATTTAGAAACTATTTTTAAAGCTTTTTATCTTCTTTATATTTTGTCTGTATATGTCTGTTTCTGCATTTTTCAATAATGTACAGAGAATTTGGCACTTAGTCTAGAGACTCAGATCTTTTCCCATATTGTTAAAATAATTTAATGTTCCTTTTTATAGTTTTATTTCTCATCCATGATAACAGCGCTAACTGCACAACGTCTTCCTCAAATGGTTTTTTCTTTTTCTCCTTTCATTTCTTTTTTATCCCTTTTAAAAGAAGTGAAACTTCTTTTTTTACTTCTTTACTTTTTAATTTTGTTTTAAACATATATTTAAATATATGTTGTGCTCAGAAACTAATTTTTGACCTTGGTTTATCAGGAAAATATTTTCTCTCTATGATGTTTTCCAAAAGTAGCTGGGGGAAAGAAATAATGTTTCAACTCTCCTTGAGCAGGGGATTGGACAGGAAGACCTTTAATGTCCTTTCCAACTCCGTTATTCTGTTATTCAAATGTCAGTCAAGGTATTTTGTGAAATGTATTTTATTTCTTTATTGTAGTCTTTATTTTAGTCTTTTTAGCTCCCTTAAATGACTCAGGGCACTGGTGGCATTGCATATTGCATTCTGTGAATGAGAATGCTAAGAAAATAACATATTAATTAATGAACACATCACTTCTTTAAGAAGTGAATAATAAAATACAAGGGACCAAAACTGTATTGATCTTTTTTGGCACAGAATCAGAGCAAGCAACTTTTAAATGTATTAGATGAAGCCTTAAGTAAATGCTGACATCATACATTGTTTCTTTGATTATAGTGCAATTTCCTTTGGGAAATTTAAAGCATAATTGACAGTCTTGCCTGCCATTGGTGGAACGATGCCTTCTGATGACTCATCCCTTCATCACACCGTCCAAGGTAATAAGACATGTGGAGAATGTAGAAAAAGTGGAAGCTCAAATGATTCTCCAAGTAGGCTTAGTAAGAGCAACAAACACAGTAAAGAGAGTAAGTGTAGCAAAAGTTCCAGCCAGTCTGGAAGTGCTTAACTTAACTGTTCCAATGACTTTCGTGATCATACTTCAAGAAAGGCTGTTAAGGGCAGCAGCAACAACAGCATTTGTCCAGAAGAGAAGGGGTGTTGTCTTACCTGAAAGCCTTTTCTCAGTACAGAGCTGTAGCATCCACCAATGGGTTTTCTCTGTCTGCCTGCTCTTGAGACCAAGTTAGACAAACTTGACATGCCCCCTGTTTCTAGGAGATCCAGTCTTGACAAGGGTGAAAGTGGCTGATGGTAGAACTAGGTGTTGGCTCTCAGACCCCTAACTCCAGCCTAACTGACCTAAGGGGTGGGTGTGGATTCTCCATCTCTGTACTGAGAAAAGGCGTTCAGGTAAGACAACACCCCTTCTCCAGTACAGGAGATGGAGAATCCACCAATGGGACATAGCAAAGCCTCATTGTCCCAGTGGGTAGGAAACAAATAAGGCCAGCTCTACATTCCTGAGACCACCTGATGGAGGGCCCTCCGACCAAAGGAGGCATCCGCTGAAGTGAAGCGGTCAATCCTATAATGGCATACAAATGGAGAAGGCGAGGATCATGTCGCAGCCCTGCAAATGAATGGATGCCTGACTGGCCCATGCTACAGAGGTCGCAGTGCCATGAGTGGAGTGGGCTGTGATATGACTTGGAGCTGGCAGGGAAGAGGACTGGTACGCCTCTGCAATACAGGCCCTGATCCACCTGCCCATGGTGGAAGGGGACACCTTCTGTCCCCAGGGAAGCCGGGAGGAAGGAAATAAAGAGGGCCTCAGACTGGCAAAAAGGTGCCGTGCATTTAATGTAATGCCTCAGAGCCCTGCGGACGTCCAGTGTGTGCCACTGCCGCTCCAAGTCATGAGAAGAATCGGGGGGAAATTAGGCAAAATGACTTCCTGTGCCCTATGGAAGTGAGTTGACCTTGGGCACGAAGGTGGGATCCAACTGAAGGACCACCCGGTCCTGGTGGAAGATACAAAGATCGTTCCTGATCAAGAGAGCAGCCAGCTCGGAAATATATCTGGCTGACGTGATGGCGATCAGGAATGCGACCTTGTGAGATAAGGCCGGTAATGGTATAGTAGTAATGGGCTCAAAGGGCGGTTTTGTAAGTGCACGAAGCACGTGAGGTATCTCCCAAGAGGGATACCTGTGTACCACGGGAGGACTAGTGTTGCATGCGCCCTTGATGAAGGCACGTATCCTTGGATGGTGAGCTAGGGGGACTGAATTTGCGCAAGTGAGCAATGTTGATAGAGCCGCCACCTGCCTACAGATGGTCGCAGAGGCCAGACCATCGAGAAGGTAGTCTACGATCTGAGGGATAATCAATTGGTAAATATCCACTTGCCACCTTCCACACCGATGGCAAAAAATTTTCCAGGTGGAATCATAAATACGATTGGTCGCCGGCCTACAAGAGGCCTGAATCATAGTGATTGCCCATGGCGAGAACAACTCTTGAATCATGATCTTGTGCTCAAGTGCCAGGCGACTAACTGTAACCACTTAGGGTCTGCATGTTGGAGGACCCCCTGGTGTAAGGACATGCAATGTGGGGGAATCTTCCACGGGGGAGAATGGGAAATATTCATTAGGTTGGCAAACCAGGGCCTCCGTGGCCAGTACGGGGCCACGAGGATCACCTCCGCTTGCTCTTGGAACAGTTTTCGGATGGTCTCTGGGATGAGCGGGGGGGGAAGGCATAAAGTAGGCCCTCCAGCCACGGAGTCCATAGGGCGTCCGTCCCCTCCACCCCTGGGAAGTAATAGCAGAAGAAATACCTGGGGAGTGGGGCATTGCTCGACGATGTGAACAGGTCGAGGGCTAGTTGACTGAACCTTTGGGATATCTCAGAGAAAAGATCTGGATGTAGTCCCCATTCCGAGGGATCTATCATAGAGTGACTCAGAAAGTCTGCCTGCCGGTTCTTCTCCCCCGAGATGTGCTCAGCCCTTATGGATGCCAAGTTGGACTCTGCCCAGGATCCCAGCAACCGGGACTCAGACCTGAGGGAGCTGGACCTGGTGCCCGCCTGCCGGTTCAAGTGGGCTTTGGACGCCATGTTGTCCGTAAGGACCAATACGTGACAGCCTCTGATCTGGTGGTGGAAGTGGCAAAGATCTAAGTGAATGGCCCTGAGTTCCAGCCAGTTGATGTTGTGTCTCATGTCTGCACGGGACCAATGGCCCTGCGCAAACTGAGACTGTAGATGGGCTCCCCAACCGAACAGGCTGGCATCTGTCATGATGGTGAGGTGGGCGGGCTCCTTGGAAGGTGACCCCTTGATAACCGCCTGTGAGAACCACCAGTGAAGAGACCTCAGGGTTTGGATCAGGAGCCTCACCTGCTGGCTGGATGCACTGGCGTTCAACTGCTGGAATGTTAGAAGGAACCATTGGAGCTCCCTCAAGTGGAATCTGGCCTAGGGAACTATGGCTATGCAGGAGACCATTTTCTCTAGTAGCTGAGAGAGCAAGACCAGTGGAACAGTGTGGTCCTTGTACACTCGACAAGCTAGGTCTCTGATGCTGTCCAACCGCTCCTGGGCGAGATAGACCATACAATTGGTGGTGTTTATGATGGCTCCCAGGTGCAGAAGTCTGGATGAGGGAACCGTCTGGTTTTCCAGAAGTTCACCGAGAACCCATGCTTTTGGAGAACCTGAATCGTTAGCCTCCTGTCCAGGCAGTCGATAAGCCCATGCCACGAGTGCCCGGTCTACAACTTTAGAGAGCAGGGCCTCAAGGCGGCCATCAGAGAAAATGTCTCCAAGTTCTGGGTCCCTGAGTCCAGCTGTCATTGGGGTGAAGGTGGCCTCAGGGACCGAGCGTGAGGATGCCAGTCCTCGAACTGTGGTTGGGTTGGCAGATGTGTTCTGATCTGTCGGTGTGGTCAAGGCATCCGCCAAGGACCACACGCCCTGAGCCGAGGCTGACAGACCTAAAGGGAAGTCAAAATCCGGGGCCGCCAAATGATTTGTCTCCGGCCTGGCCTGCCTATGCGCTCTGGAGAACTCCTTCTCCAAAGCCTCCTTCTCCAAAGAACTCCTTCTCCAAAGCCTCCTTCTCTAAGCCTTCTCCAAAGCCTTAGTTGGCCAGTCAAGGTGCACCAGAAAGTCCAATGAAGAATGCAGAGGGCCTGAATTGAAGGCCTGGCAGAGGAGCTACTAAAGGAGAGTTCACTCATGAGCTCAAAATTGCTGGCTGAGAATGGCCGAGCATCCTTCTACTCCAGTTAAGGGCTGCATTAAAACTGATTAGTCTAATTGCTGGCAGTCCTAAAAACCAATCCACAGAAGAGAGTGAAAAGTGCCCCTACAAGCAGACCACCATTGACGGCTGAACGATCAGCAAAAAGGGCTTGGTCAAAATGACAGCCACTCCGAATGCTCCAGGGGATTCCCTGGAGTGATCCGAAGCTCCGTGTGAAGCCAGGAGCCCTTCCGCCGACCCCACTAGCTGGAAACTTAATTTTGGAAGGTCTGTGAGGGGAACCTGCTTTAATGAGCAAACGTTAAACGAGCAAATCTTTGGTCGCCAGACGCTTCGGCGGCACCCAAAATGGCGGCCGCAACATGCCGCCCATTGGGGAAGCTGCCTGAAGCCTCGTGGGGTCATTTACACTGAGGAGCTGGTCAGAGCAGCAGCACAAGGGGTCCCATGAATGAGGATAGAAGGAAAGGAAGTCACCCAGAGCCCTGGCGAAGGAAAACAAAAACAAAAAAAATGGCTGCAGTCACTCTCCCCCCCAACCAAGCCTCAGATCATCTGATCTGAGGCAGCGCTGATCCCTGCGCTTCTGGAAAAGAGATGGGGTGTGAGGAGAGGAACAAAGAATCCACCAACCTGCTGAATTTGAAAGGTAAGAAGAGAATCCAACAATGGAAAAAATATCTGCTAGCTAGTTAAATAGAGACTGTTGAAATCAGAGAGCCAAACCTGACACGTCTTCAAGAGCTTGAGACCAAGTCAAGATTGGGTCTCCTAGCAATAGAGGGCATGTCAACTTTGGCAGACAGAGAAAACCCATTGGTGGATTCTCCATCTCCTGTACTGGAGAACAGTTGTGCAACTTTTCCGAACTTCGATTACAAATTTGGATGATCACTCTTCCATTCTTTTTCAGTCCATTACTTTCAATATTTTATCAGTATTTAGATATGCTGTGTGTGTGTGTGTGTGTGTGTGTGTGTATCTATCAATCAGTCTGTATAGGGAGTTTTGAATAGTGGGTAGAGTGTTGGCTTAGCAATCCTACTTTAGGCATGACTGGTTGAGTTCTATGAGAGTTCAGGTATGATTTTTCACAATAGGTCAATCCACAAATAATTCCATTAGACATTGACTCAAGAAATTATATAAATGGAATTGAATCTATGTGATGAATTCACCTTTGAGTGTTTGGCTCTGAGCCGTATGTAAAAATATGTGATCCTTACTTTGCCAAATCTTATTTGCCATCTTGATATTTTTTTTAACGTTGGAGGTAAAACATTTCCTGAAAAGAAACCTCAGCAGAAGATCACATTCACGACTGACCACACTATCAATACTCAGGAAAAAAATAACAAGGCTTGCCGTCTATTGTCATCAAGAGACCATAAAATTAAAGAATTGAAAAATGAAGTGGCTTTTCTGAGGAATAAATTGGAGACCTTTGCTATGGAAAATACAATCTTGAAGCGTCTTCTCAGGACATCTGAGGAAGAAGAGCGCAGGGATTCTAAGAAGCTGAGAGAGGTTCAGGCGGAACTCTTAAAAACAACGGACACCTTATTGACTTTCCAGAAACTTTCTGAAGACAAGAAACATGGAGAGAGAGGAGAACCTTGTCCTAAATTAACATCACTTCCCCCAAAATTGGAAGCCAGTGATAAGAGAATCCAGGTAATATGCAACGTACATTGCTTAGAACAACCTAGCTGGGCTCTGTGAGACCCCTATAAAGAAATGCATTAAGAAACAAGAACAGCTTCCTCAAAGCTCTATTTTACAAGGAAATCTATTCGTATTCAGATTTTGAAATATTTATCCAGCTATTAGATACATAGATGCTCTGCATTAGGTTTCCCACTTCAGTTCTTTCAGAGTTTCTTATTTGCTGGAAGAGATCATAATTTCAAACGTCATTGTTAGAATACTTTTTCCCAAGCTTTACCAATAATAGTGATAATAGTGATAGGCGGTGACCAGTCTAGCTTTAATTTCCTGACACAGACTAGCTTGTCCAGCTGTATGACTTTTTACCAATGACTTCTTTCTTCAGTCCATCTCTAGGAAAATAGATGCAATAGGATCTTTTGGTATAATGCCAGCTTTTTACAAACCTTGTATCAATCCTGAAAGAAAAGGAGTAGCTGCACAAATATGTAATGAGGAAGATTTGGGTAATAAATTTTCATATCCATTAATGAAATCAAAATCTCAAGGTATAAAAAGACATTATTGAAAAATAAGAATATAGGAAAACAAGAAGATTATAAATACACTAGTTGTATTAAAATTGATATTAGCTAAGCTAATTACTGATAAATCTTAGTTTCACCACACAATCCTAGATGGATGTTGAAAAACACTACTGGGGTGTTTTGAGTGGATGTTGGGCAAAACTTCTTGCTCTTCACACTTTCTTTCATTTTTGTACATTAGGCTTAGTTTTATAGAAAAATGAGATTTTTTGTAAGAATGACTCTTCCTTTAATTAGTCGGTTGATGACATTGGACTAATCAGCACGTTGAAAATTATATATTGGTTAAACGTATCAGACTTAGCATCATACTAAGCCAAAAAATAAAGCATATTATGGCTTTATTAGAATTGAAGTGAACACGTTTTTACTCTTGTCTTCTCCTCCTCCTCCTCCTCCTCCTCTTCCTCCTCCTCCTCCACACCTCTTTATGTTAGCATTATAATACATATTTAATACTGTTTCCACAAAAATAAGACCCAATCTTATATATTTTTTGTCTCAGAAAGAGGCATTATGTCTTATTTGCAGAGGATGCCTTATTTTTTTTCCCCTCACAACTGCCTCGCCTTGCTGTGGCATCACAAACATCCCTGTCAAGCAAAATCCTGGGTGTCTGCTCACCCACTGCATGTCAGTGCTGCTGCCACCAGTAGAGGTGGAGGGAAGGGGAGAGACTCCCCTTGTGTCCCACACCCACACCCCACCACCTGCCTTGCCTCTTAGAAATCCAGGACTAATCAGTACAGATGCAGAGGGTAAATGGAGAAAAGCTGATTCATCAGATTTATTAAAAAAAAAAAAAAGACAGGCAGTGATTCCCTTTCTTCCGCATGGCAACTTGAAGAGCTGTGGCCCAGGTTTTTTCAGTGGCAGGCTGAGCATGGCACTTGAGGCCTTTGTATACAAACCACACCCATACGCAGCCTCCTGAAGTGGCCCCTGATTCTTCCATCCTGGGCCCCTTCCACCGCCTCATCTTCTTTCTGCTCAATGCCAACATCATTCCCAATGGCTACATGGGGATGTCTGTTGTCTTCTTGGCCACCATTCCCAAGCAGTGTTGCCAAGTGCCTGCTAACACCAACCTGAGCATGGTGTGGCTCAATGCTAGCATCCCCCTGGATAAGCACGGTGGGCAGCTGGTGTAGTTCCAGTGCAGCAGCTACTGCCTTGAGGCCCTGCTCAACTTCTCTGCCAGGAACCTGGAGCCCAGGCATGATGTCACTCTCAGTCATTATCATGGAGGTAGGCTGGAGCTAGCTCACTTTTGGAGCCTTGGAGACGTGGCAGGGGAGGCTTGCATCGCCTGGTCACAGTGCAAGCCATGGGACAGTTGGCAGTGGAGGAGGAGGTGGCAGATGCTGCTGGGCAGGTGATCTGCAGAGGGAAGAGGGGTGGCCAAGACCCAAGAAAATTCCTCCAGAGGTGGATGCGGCTCTCGCACAGCAATAGCAGAGCCTTTCACCATCATTCCTCCCTGGCTCTGAAACGGCAGAGGGGGACCGAGAAAGGTGACCAAGCCTCCCCCACACATACTCTATAGCATGGCAGTCTGGCTCAGAAGGGGATTGAAACCGAGAGGCAGGTGGGCAGAATAGGCAGGTTGCCAAGAAAGGAGTGGCCTGATTGCAGGGACCCTGAGATGCACGGCTGCAGGGCATGTGGGCAGCTCCACCTGCCTCTCCTCACCTCGTGGTAGTAGTACCAATGAAATCTGGATGGAGTGTCTTGACTAGGGCTTAATTTTGGGGTAGGGCTTATATTAGGGGCATGCATGAAAATCAGGCTAGGGCTCTTTTTCAGAATAGATCTTATTTTTTGGAAAACACAGTATATACTTTGTTAAAGTCATAACTATATTGTATCAATATATTTTGGAAGGAGCTTTAAGGTCAAATTGAATTAATAGTTTATGAATTGTAAAAATGTAAAACAAATTGGTAAAAAACTTCACGGTTCCAGGAAAAAAGGATATGTATCCTTCAGAATCTTTAGAAAAGGAAGAATTTGGCCAAATTATGCATTAGCAAAGAATTAAAATACGGATAAATAAAATGAGATACTGGGGGGAGTTATGCATTGAAATGTACCATCTTTGAAGATCTAACATTAATACAATAAACTATATTATCAACATAAATTTAATAATGCATTTGTTTAGGAAAGAGAACGAGAACTAAGCATAACAGATATTTATGCAGAAGAGATGCGGAAACGTCAGCCAGAGAAAGGTGATTCCTCTTCTTCTCCAAAAGGTAGCACAGAGTTTGTTTCAGATTTTATTGTGAAATAAAAATATGATAATTCTTTCAACTCATCAAAAATATTTCAAATCCTGGTTTAGTTTGCAGCAAAGTATAAGTTTGTATATATATATACATATAATATATATATATATAAGTATATATATATATATTTATATATGTAGGTCTTTGGTTGTTCGGGTTTTCTCTAATAACAGAATAATCAGAGAAGCCATCGAGATAGAAAAACGCCCACACAGCATGAACAAGCGAGATAATACCTCCCGCCTACCAGCCATTTGGAAACCCGCCCTTATTGACAAACGACTCCCTAACACAAAAAATGATACCAGACCCACACTCACAAAAACCACACAGGAGGTCACCACCACACACATCCATGCAAAAAACAAACCCAAAGCCACACCAATGACGAGGCACGACCACAAACCAGAAGCCAGACCACAGCTGCATCATTAGCCACTTTAAAAACCCTCCAATCAATACATGAAGCAAACTGACACCCTCCATGAAGAGGAGGCACGACCAACACGAACGCGAAGCCAAAAAATAGCAAGGCAGCCCAAAATCTTAAACCCCTCTGCAACTCAGACTAACCTGAGCACAACCAAACAGAACACTCCCCCAGCCAATCAGAGCACAGCCAAGCCCCTAACCATTCAGAACACACCTCCACCCAATCAGAACACAGCCAAGCTCCCACCCAATCAGTTCATACCCCCACTGGCAGCTAAAAGAAACAGCTAAGACCACACATTGCTGCTCAAAGCACGAAGCTGAAAACACCAGCCTGAAGATGATGAATGGGACTTCGTCGAAACGTCGCCAAGATACTTCCAATTTTACGCGGGAGAAAACCCGAACAACCAAAGACCTACATACAAATACCCGCGAAAACCTCAGAAATATATATATATATATATATATATATGTGTGTGTGTGTGTGTGTGTGTGTGTGTGTGTGTGTGTGTGTGTGTGTGTCAAATTTATATAGCGTACCTGCCCATCACACTAGAACTACCTATAGTACAACATCTCAGTATAGCTATTTGCATTAGTATCTAATAAAATGCAATAAAAGTGATATGAAAGCATAAGAATTAAATCACTTCAAACATGTCAGTAAAATATCACTTGCCTTTCACTGATGTCAGTCATGAATGTGTCATGTTTATTTATTTATTTTTGACTTTTCATAGTTGTTAAAGTCAGCCAAGCAATACGAGGAAAGATCAGCCTAAAACCCAGGACTCTTGGGATGCGTGAGCCTGAAGGAAGTCGAATGACCTTCCACGAGGTATGGAACAGCTGAACAAGCCTTTTATCGTTCTTAACTTCTGATTGTTTGTAAGTTTTGGTTCTGCTGATTTGCCATCTTCTTGTAACATGCATCTTCTACTCGTTTTTGTTTTTTGCAGAAAATCTATTACTATGTTATAAACATAACTTTGTTTGCCAGAAAGGAAGCTCAGGGATGCAACTTGAAAATTTCTTATTGTATTAATAGGAAATTCTTGGGATAGTTAAGAAAATGTTTTAAAACAGGGGATAATGTGTGGATTGTGATAATATTTTATACTGATCCATGGTTTGATTCTGGTTTGCTGAAGAAATAATGTCTACTTCATCCTCTCTCTTTCCTGGCTATTCTTATTGTGCTAGGAATGATTGCTTCTTTCCTCCCTTAATAACTTTGTCCTTCTTTTGAGGAGGGTCTTGGGGACTCTGTTGATACAGATAGTCAGAGTGATATCTATATACTATTAAAACTCTCTGGTTTGTCTCTGTGTAAGTGTTGAATGGGCAAAGCAGTATGTCGTAGGGCAATCATTTTTAAACCAAGATACCTGAAATGGGCTTATTTACACTGCAAAATCTGGAACCCATGGCTTCTGTGGAATTAAAGTTAGGCAAAATTTATCAACCATTTTATGACATAAAATTATCATAAGACATATTAGGACATAATACAAAATGTCACAAAATATTTCCTTTGGTCAAATGCTGATCTTTGACCATGCTATATAGTTCAACATTTCAATATCTCCATGAATTTTTAACAACTTTTCTACTGTAGACAGTACATTAGAAGCTCTGTTATTGTTCAAGGCATTGAAGAAAATGGTAAGGTGATATCTCTGAAAAAATGACCCAATGGCTTGTGGATTCTCTGGCATTAACTGTATAGGACAAGGAAGTTCTCGTTTCAAGTCCACCTTCATTCACAATACCTTAGGCAACTTTGGTATTTAGTGACTATCAGTTCAATCAAATTAATAACCTGGATTGGAGGAAATATGGAAGTCTTGAAGAAAAAGTGAGATATACATCTAAGAAATAAATAAAATAAAACTTTTATTTATTTATGTTTCCCTAACTTGGATTATCATTTTAATCTATGTTAATGCAATATTGGGAGAGTTTAGATCAGCGGTTCTCAACCTGTGGGTCGCGACCCCATTTGGGGTCGAACGACCATTTCACGGGGGTCACCAAAAAACGCAGTCCGCCACTTTTTTCCCCTTTTCCTTAGCTGTGCTACTCCCTTTCATTCTATTGGCTTTTGAAAGCCAATAGAATAGACTCTCTTGAATAGAGTCTAATTCTATTGGCTTTCAAAAGCCAATAGGAATTGTCCAGGCTGTCTCTGCCCTGCTCAGCCAGTCAAAAGTCCCATTCTGCAAATGGTGCTCTAAGATGTCTGCAGCGAAGGCGAGCTGTCTGGAAGTTTCCATCCCTCCCTGCTGAGCAACTACTAAAAATGTAAGTAAAACAGGGCCAGGGGTGGGATGTGGGAGGACGGTGGGCGCAGGGAGGGTTGCTGGCACACGAGGGGCCCGGCAGGTGCCTTACCTCCCTTGGACTGGGCCAGCTGGTGGCCCAGCCGGTGGTCGGCCTACTCTGTCTCTGCCGCTTGCCAGCTACGCCTCGGCCGGCACAGGGGGTGGCACCACGCATGTGCGGTGCTCCTGGGCAGGGAAAGTCCTCGACTTACAACTGGTTGGGTAGTCCTCGACTTACGACCTGTTTAATTCTCAATTTACCACCGGTTGAGTAGTCCTCGACTTACGATCGGTTGGAGGTCGCGGCATTAAAAAGGTTGAGAACCACTGGTTTAGATAGATACTTTATTAGACAGAGTAAAATGAAACGAAGGATGAGGACTATAGATAAGTCTGCAATTGATGTGGAAGGGAGATGTAATGACATTTTATCACTTACACAGATAAAAGGTAACATGCATTTATAGTTATATGCTTTTTTCTGTGACCTTTCAGGAATTGAAAGCCAACGCAGATGTGGAAGAATTATACATCATTGGTAAAAAAATTGAGCCTCAAACAGGAGTTCATCTCCCTGAAATATCAGCAGCACATATTTCAAACAGGACATTCATGGGTAAAAACCATAGTTCACATGGTGAATTAACCCACTTTTTAGGAGATTATGAGCCCTCATTTACCAAATTTCAAAATGAGAGACCAAAAAACAACCCTTCACCTCCTGTTGAAGAAAACAGGCCGAAGATACCACCAGAAAAGAAAAAGCTTCTGTTGGAAAAACTATTTGGTCCAAACCGCATATTAAATAACAAATGATGGCTGTGATTCCAGTCAAGCGGATAGATATTAGATAATAATCAGAGAATATTAGAACTACGACATATTAGAGTGTATATAGCAGATAGTATTAGAACTAGGATACATTAGATAGTAGATATTAGATAGTATTAGAACTAAGTGATATTAGCTAGTAGATATTAGTATTAGAACTAGGATAGATAGTGGATATTAGTATTAAAATATATTATGTAGTAGATATTAGATAGTGTTAGAACTAATCAATATTAGGTATTACATACTAGTGTTAGAATGAAGATATATTAGATAGTAGATAATATTAGAATTAAGTGATATTAGCTAGTAGATATTAGTATTAGAACTTGGATATATTACATAGTGGATATTAGTATTAGAATATATTATAGATAGTAGTTATTACATAATATGAGGACTAGGAGATATTAGAAGTTTCTATAGTTACTATTGCAATAAGCATCATAAAAAACTTTTGTTAATTTTTTGCACATTTTTATAAAACATATATTAAAGGAATTTTGAAAAAGATGTTTTATGACATGCTTATCAATCAAATCTTATCAAATAAGAATTTCTTGAAGCATCTTTCTTTCCTACTTGAAATGAATAAAGGAGTCTTTGCAGCTTATAGTCAGTGGTGCTGTTTCACCACACGAGGGAGCCAAAGACTGTAATCTAATTATATTTACTAGACCAATTAGATTTAATGTTATAAACTTTTAATTTTTAGTAATGTTTTGGGGCAATGGCTTCACGTAAGAGAACTGAAAGAAATGAAATAAGATTATCAGGAGAAGCTGAATCTTCAAGTGCTTTTTTTTTGATAAATGTACAGCAAAAACAAATGAAGTAATTCAGGCAATGGGAACAAAGCTTGAACTGCATGGTGACAGCGGTTAGAATCCAGTATCACAGGCTAACTCTGCCCACAGCCAGGAGTTCAATCCTAATGGGGCTCAAGGTTGACTCAGCCTTCCATCCTTCCGAAGTCGGTAAAAGGAGGACCCAGATTGTTGGGGAAAACATGCTAACTCTGTAAACCATCTAGAGGGGGCTGTAAAAAACGATGAAGCAATATATAGGTTTAAGTGCTATTGCTAGACCTTACACACTTTTAAAAGAACTCGATGAGGAAATACAACTCTTAGCTGGAGATATTAAACAGAGAAAGGATAGAGTGTAAGAAATGAAAGTTTAGAAAATAAAAATTGGGAGCATCTTCAGCCCAGAGTTTTATGCCTTCACCTAGAAAATAAAGAAATAGATAAGCTGGGTGGTACAGAGCCATACAGATAGGCAGCAAAATTTAACCTCGCTGATTTACACACTGAATCACAATCACTATGGCATTGATTTTGCATTCCCTATGATTTATTTATGAAAATTTCTATGGCTGCTGAACTTACTCTAAGCTGCCTGGAAGTTGCCTATTGAGTCAAAGGGTTGTCAACTTCTATGTAACAACTGTCCTCTTGGAAGAAAACTAAGAGGAAAAGGAAGCAGGTGAATAAGGTAGTGGTTTCCTTGGCAATGAAATCAGTTATGTGTGAATGCAACATGTTTGCTAAGACGTGCCACTGGGAGTAATTGTGTAGCCGGGATATTAAGATAGGACTGCTTGGAGAATTTCAAAGTGGGTGTGGAGGGGCTAGAGAGAGAGTGATTTGGGGACACATCTTTAGTAAAAGTCTCTGAACACGGAGCAGCATCACTTTCCTTTCTTAAAGAGCAATCACTCAAGTAGCTTCCAAAGACTTCTGCGCACAAAAAAGCAGGGGTTTAGTGGCCCTGTAGCAGCTTGGCAAGCAGAGAGAATCCCCAGGGCATCTTCACTTCTCCAAGTTCAGCTGGTCCCTCCTCCTTTCCCCCACCTCAGTTAATTGGCTCTCGGGTATTTCCAGAACTGAAGAACCAAGAGATGATTGGTTTGTGAGAATATTTGTTGCGAGGGACTTCACCTGCTTGTCACTTTAGATTGACGGGTTGGCAACCCTTAAAAGGCCAAGTACTAGCAAAGCATCAGTCATTGCAGGTTGGTGGAGTGGGTGTGGTGGGAGAAAGAGGCATCCAAGAGCAGGAGGAGCAAGAAGGGAATCTGTTTCTTGAAAGATCGGTAATGGTCTTGACAGTTTTTTCTTAATTCAGTTAGGGCATTCAAGGAAAATTCTACATTGCCTTACAAAATGAAAAAAGGAAAATATGATTTGAAAGCTGACTTGCTTCAGCAGGGATCATTTTCTATAGACACCATCCTCGAGTCAGCAAGATTCGTTTGATATTGCAATTAACAGAAAACATCCTCAAGCAGGAACATCAATTTTGCATGTAGAAAATTAAGAAACAATAACCACTTCTTTAAAGTTCAATTTTACAAGGAAATCCATTTATGTTCAGTAATTATCCAGTAATTAGAGACATAGATGTGCTGCATTTTGTTTCCCACTTCAGTTCTTTGGGAGTTTGTTATTTACTGGAATAGATAATAATTTCAAACCTCTAAGTTCAATTTCCTGATGCAATCTAGCTTGTGCAGCTGGTAGCTGTAGGACTTTTTACCAATGCCTTCTTCCTTCAGCCCAGCTCTAGGAAAACAGATACAGCAGGATCTTTTGTATAATGCCAGCTTTTTACAAACCTTGTATCAGTCCTGAAAGACAAAGAGAAGCGGCACAACTATGTAATCAGGCAGTTTTTAGGGAAAAGTTTTCTTATCAATCAATAAAATCAAAATCTCTCTATATATTACAAAAATGTAGTGCAGATTATTTTCTATATACTTTTTTTCACACGGTGGGCCGATTCCCATTTCAAAAATGTGAGCATTATAACCGAGATGGAGAATTTTTATCTTTTTGTAAACATTTTGCTAAACTTTCAGTTGCCTTCTTCAGATTTCTAATGCAATATTTGTACGATTGTAAATGTTCAATAATCTTTTTGATGGTTTATTTATAAGATGTTTATGATCTAGAAAAGCAGCTTTCGTTGATACTATTTCCTTTAGTCATCAATTAGCACTTGCAAAGAAAAAGACAATTGAAGCTCAGTCAATCACCGCAAATTTATAAATGGAAGTCAAGTTGCCGAAGCTAAAACTTAAAGTATTTAAAAAGTTTACATTAAAACTCTCTTACTGCAGAAGGCATCCGAGGTGCTATTAACTAAATGCTCATTTGAAGTAAGCCTATTTTGTTCTCTGGGACTTTCTTTCAGCCTGTAGCTATCTAAAGTATAGATTGCAGAAATGTATTAATTTATGTTAGGACATTTGAACATTACCATTTGTAGGAAAAGATACTACTTGAAAAGTGTGTCCCAACATGAAAATAATATGCTTTTTAAAGATGTTAAACAAGGCCTGTATTGATATATTTAATACTATAGACTTTGTTAATATCATAACAATTTTGTATCAAAATATTTTGGAAGGATCTTTAAGATCAAATTTAATGAAAGGTTTATGAATTGTGAAAATAAAAAACATGGTCAAAAACTTCAGAATTCCAGGAAAAAAAGGATATTTATCCTTCAGAATCTTAAGAAAAGGAATTATTTGGCCAAATTATACATAAGCAAATAATTTAAAATACAGATAAATAAAATGAGATACTGGGGGGAGTTACACAGTGAAATGTATGATCTCTGCAGAACTGACATCAATACAATAAACTATATTATCAACATAAATTTAATAATGCATTTTTAGGAAAAAGAATGAGAACTGAGCATAACAAATATTTATGCACATCGGATGAGTAAAGGTCAGCCAGAGAAAGGTGATTCATGTTCTTCTCCAAAATGTAGCAGAAAGTTTGTTTCATACTTTATTGTTAAATAAGAAATATGATAATTATGTTATTCGTCAAAAAATATTTCAAATCACTGCTCTATTTGCTTTTTTAAAATGGCAATACTAATTTTGTGAGCTCATTATTTAATAGTTATCAGTGCTGATTCTCATCATGTTCTCTAGATATGAGAGATAAGGGGAGAAGAGTTTTATGGATAATTACTAACAAATCCCACTAAATTCAAAAGTCCTTTGTTACAGGATAAACCGCCTTATATTTTGATGACTTCTAGAGCCTTTTAATTTGGTATACCCCAAAGTCTGGCTGTGGAAATAAAACTATTACTTCATGCCATGCTGCCATTATACAAATGAGTTAAATTGTGTATTTTGAAGCAAAAAGTGTTAATATCAGGCAAATTTATATATTTATTTCTTAAATTTATATACTATAGCTGCCCACCCCACTACAGGTACATATAGTTCAAGATCACATTATTGCTGTTTCTTCTTCCAAATTTAAAGCCACAATTATTTTTTTCTCAATCCCGCCTGCCCTGTATGCTACATATAGGTTGAATTAATAAAAAGAGTGCATATAACCATTTTTCACCCTTTTGTCTAGCTCTGCATTTTGAATGAAATACAGAAGTGGTTTACCATTGCCTTGTCCCAGGTGGTATAAAAGAATCCCCATGCCATTGCCATTGAAGGGATTATCTAACATTGTCCTATGAGGCTGCTGCTATCCAATATACACAGTCCTCAAATTATGATTCAATGGAGCTCAGAATTTCCATCATAGGTTACGATGGTCATAAATCAAGGGACCCATGTTATCAACCTGATTTTACCACATTTTTGCAGTGTTTCTGAAGTGAAGGCCCAGTTATAAAGCAAATGATGCGATCATTAAACACTGTATTTGTTAAGCAAGCCAATGCATTCTTACGGCCATTTTGTTGGCAGAAACCTGCCCCAAAGTCTGGTTTCTTGGAAAATACACTGTAATTGGCCTTAAAGAGAGTTATGTGACAGTGTGGGGGGGAAACAGCATCAGAACTCTGGAATTGGGCTGTAAGTAATTTGGGAGGAGCATCTGATCTCTGAATGCAAAACAACTGTTTGTTAAGTGAGCAATATGTCAACCTAGGCCGAAGCCACCAGAACTAACAGTGGTGAACGCATGTAAGCAGGGTAGAGAAAAGCCAGGAAAAAGAACCAAGGCATGAAGGAAAGAACAAAAGTTTGGCCTGAGCACATAGCAAGCCCCTCACCACATTTGGCAACCAAGGAGTTGGGCCTGCATGGGAAGCCTCTCCCATCAACACTGAGGGATCAAAAGAGATCCTGAGGCCTGCCCAGACTTTGGGGTCATTTTTGGATCAGGACTTGGCAGCTTCTGTCCCTCTGGCTAATGCCAAGCAACCTAGTTGTGGATGTGGGGTAAGTACGGATGAGTGTGTTTTTGTGTGCATGTGTGTAAAACTAAATAGATCTACTTCATAATCAGTCAAAGTCTGCTGTTATTTTTTATTCACTGGGTCTCTGTGTATTTTAAAGAGCCATTTGTGCCTCAGAGTTCAGTTGAAACTGGTTTGAGTGTGCCAATTTTCCAGGGATATGAGGGTGTGAGTAAGTGACGATAACCTGAGCGTGAGAGCACACTTGTGTAACAAATACCTGTAGTTTCTGGCTTGCTTTCTCTGAGCAGCTGAGATGATGTGACCTTGCTGGAAGTAGAGACTCTGGGTGTTTTTCACTCATCCCCCCCAGGAACAGCCTTTCCACTACCACATGCCTTCTTCCTAGAGTAGACAGAGGGTGATTAGCCCCAAATCACCCAGTTTGTTTCTGTGTATGGTTTGCTGAAGATATAATGGCTACTTCAGCCAACATGCCAAGACAAAGCCAGCCATAAAAAAAGTCAAAGCAATTCTCCAAACAAAACTATTTCTCATCCACTTGCATGCTCAGTGAGGAAGTTCAGGGAAGGTTTTGGTGTAGCTGTCATCTTTTTCAGGAGGTGGGAAGATGGCAGTTCTGAGTCTATTAACTGTTGAAAATCCCTTAAAATATGGTTTTGTCAGCAGGCTTGGTGATCCTACAGAAATAGGGAACTGCAAATGGCTCTGTTATATGTAGGATTTTGAATTAACTCTCCAAAGGCTTTGATTATATTTAAGGTTTTTAAATTGTTTTTACTGCGTAGTGGGTTTTTGGAGGCATTAACCAGATCCGGTTAATACAACAAGATTTATTGCAACAGAAAACAGAATGACGGCTATTTATATTTGCTGCCTCTAGGCGGCGACCAATCAATTCAAACGGTGTTTTCCCACTCAAACCTGAAATTAACTTTTCCCTCCAAAACAGTTGGAGGTACATTTAAACAAAAACACATTAACTCCTGATATCAATACATAACAGTTTTAATTCATTATAATGGTTTTGTCTGAATATTGTGTTTTGCCCAGTCACATGCATGAGATGGACAGCTTTATAAATGTACTAAATAAATAAATAAAAGATTCCTGCAGTACTCTTTCTCTTTTCTGGCTTGTCTTAGATCCATACATGCTTCTCCGTATTGTGCTAGGATTCGTTGCTGTTTTTCTTCCTTTATATCTATGTGTTTTCTTTTAAACAAGGTCTTGGGGACTCTGTTTATGAAGGTAGTCAGACTGATATCTATATACTATTAAAGCTCTCCAGTTTGTCTCTGTGAAAGTTTTAATTGGGAAAACAGTGCATTATAGAACAATCATTTTTGTACCAAGATACCTGAAATAGGTTTACTTATGGTCCAAAATCCAGAATCCATGTCTTCTGTGGAATTGAAATTGTGCAAATTTTATAAAGTATTTTATAATATAAAATTATCTTAAGATATTTTAGAACATAATGCAACATGTCACAGAACATTTCCTTTGGTCAACTGCCGATCTTTGACCATGCTGTACAGTTCAACATGCCTATTTTCAAGGCTGAGACATCTCTGAATATCAGCCTGAATTTTTAACAACTTTTCTAGTGTAGACAGTACAATAAAAGCTCTGCTACTGTTGAAGGCATTGAGGAATCCGGTAAGGTGACATCTCTGTTTTCTAGAACAGATGAACCAGGAGACGAATGGTTTGTGAGAGTATCTGTTGCAAGAGACTTCACCTATTTTTCACTATAGATTGACGCGTTGTGAGGGGATAATGGGGTGCCCAAGAGGAGGATTGGTAAGACAAAAACTGGTCTTGGCAGTTTTTTCTTAAATCAGGGCATTCAAGGATCTATCGTCCTTACTCTTCAGTTCCGAAGAAAATTCTCCAGCATGTAAAACCCTAAAAGATATGTTCTACATTGCCTTAAAAAAAGAAAAGGACAATATGATTTTCAATCCAGTTCCATATTCTCCTTGGTTTCTAAATAAAAAATATATACTTTCTAAGTAAAAAATAGATACTTCAAATTCTACAGAAGATTCATACTTTTCAGAGTCGATGGTACAAGTAATCAATCTCTCTGAGACCAAAGAAAGGATGACTGCTCTTTCATTCCATGACACAGTTGAAGTGGTAGAAGAAAAAGAATATAGAGGATTAAATCACAGACTTTACAGAAATTCTTGGAGAAACATTAGTCATTAAGGCCAGGAGAGCAATCTTTGCCCATACTGTTATTTTGTCAGCACAAGTCAAACCCATTTGATGGCACCCAATTAACTAATTGAGAGTCAGTTTGGTGTACCAGTTAAGGTATCCATAAAGAAACCAGTAGATTCTAGTTCTGCTTTGGGCAAGAAGGTAGCTGGGTCAGTCATTTCTCTCAGTCCAAAGGAGGCAATGGCAAAACATTTCTGAAAGTCCTTGCCAAGAAATCTACAGGGATTCTCCAGGAGATCTCTGAGAATTGGAAATAATTGGGTGAAATAAAAATAAAAGTTATGATTCTCCTGATAGGAGGACATTCCAGTCAATCTTCTTTAAGCATGTGTCTACCTGTCCTCACCTGAAACTTGAGTCAGCCAGAAGCTGAGGCACCCCAAGTATGGGCTTAGATAATCTACCACTAGAGTGTTTTTGTGGTTGCGCACGAGGAGTGCTTGTTTCGGGTTGTGGGTAAGCAAAGATAGCAACAGTTAAGGGGAGGCAAAAACACATGGAAGATAAAGGCCTGGTAGAAGAGCTCCTCCTAGGGACACGGAAAATGGAGCAGCTACTTTCCCCCTCCAAGTTGAATTGTGCTGTCAACTTCTGTTATGTCCAGCTTCCAGTCAGCAAAGTAGGCATTTGTACCACTGAAGCATTATCCGTGGACATTATTGTGTTACTCGCTGAAACCGTGCGATTCTCATAATACATTTCCTATGTCACTCGTATTTAATTAAATGACTAAAGAACTGAAATCAGAAATAGCCCGAAATGTTAATGTTTATAAATATTGTACAACAAAGGAACATTTAGAAACTAATTTTTATGCATTTCATTTCTCCTTTCTACTTCGTCTGTTTGTGTGTGTTATCTGCATGTACATGTTTTTAAAATGTGTAGAAAAAAGGATAATCTTGAATGTTGGGGAGTTTCTGTATGAGCAAGGAATAACTTGCTACTTTTTCGACCTTGATATATCAGGAACACCTTTTCTCTCTATTATATTTTCCAAAAGTAGCTGGGTAAAAGCTTGAGCAAGGGATTGGGATAGAAGACCTCTAAGCTCCCTTTTTTCTGTTATTTGAATGTCAGTCCAGGCATTCTGTGAAACGTAATACTATTATTTTAGTATTTTTTGCTCCGTGAAAGAACTCAGAGCTCTGGAGGCATAATAAACACATCAATTCTTTAAGAAGTGAATAATATAATGCAAGGGACCAAAATTGTGCTGATCTTTTTTGGTACAGAATCAAAGCAAATAACTTTTAAACGTGTTAGATGAAGCCTTAAAAAAATCTTGACATCATACATTGTTTTCTTGTCTGACTTCAGTGCCATTTTGTTTGGGAAATATAAAATATAATTCACAGTCTTCCCTGCCATTGGTGGAACGATGGCTTCTGATGATACATCCCTTCATCATACCGTCAAAGAGGAGAAGACATGTAGATAATGTAGAAAAAGTGGAAGCTCAAGCGATTCTCCTGGTAGGCTTAGTAAGAGGACCAAAATCACTAAAGGCAGTAACTGTAGCAAAAGTTCCAGCCAGTCTGGAAGTGCTCAACTTCACTGTTCCAATGACTTTAGTGATAATGCTTCAAGAACAGCTGTCATGGCAGCAGCAACAGCATTTGTTCAGAAGAGAACAACTGTGGAACTTCTCTAAACTTCTATTACCACGATTTTCCCTCAGATTCCTCTGAAACCCCCACAAGCGAAGAGGGTGGCAGCTTCACCAACCCGTTGCTCCAGCAGCCAGAAACTACAGAACAGAACTTACCACAGAAGAAAAAGGGAAACCATCTCCATGCAAAAGGTAAGAAGGCCACCGGTCACACAGAACACACCTTTCCTGAAAAGGAAGCAGTTGTGCTATAACACTACTTTTGCGAGCTAGCCTGACACTTCTAGACTGTAGAAAGTATACTATATTTTTGAAAGTCACACAAATCTAGTTAAATAATTTACATAGTTAAACTGCATATGGTTGATTAATATGTTAATGTTTTGCTATGAACACTTTTGGTCAGTAATTCTACCCTCTAGGTAATGGGGGTTGTGTTGATGGGTTCAATTCACCAGTTTTTAGTGACGGGAATAGTTCACCATTGTCATGGTCATACAGATGTCAGTGTCACATGGCTTCAATAATTACACTAAGGGACAGGGAATGGGGTCCAGAAAAAGAAAAGGAGTGGGCAAATTTGAGTGGTCACTCTTACATTATTTTGAGTCCATTACTTTCAGTGTTTTGTCAGCATTTAGATATGGTATGAGTGTGTGTGTGTGTGTGTGTGTGTGTGTGTGTATCAATCCATCTGTCTAGGCAGTTTTGTACAGTTTTGCAATCCTGCTTTAGGCATGAATGACTAAGGAGTTCTAGGAATAGAAGTCCATGCAACGTAAAGTTGTCTAAATACTCTTTTAGCATAGTATGTGAGTATAGCAGTTATGAAAGCTAATATTATGAGAGTTCAGCTATAATTTTTCACAATAAGTCGATCAATAAATAGTTGCATCAGAGATTGACTCAATAAAAATAAGCAAATCCATGCGGTAAATATCTGTTTGTGGATTTGGCTCTGAAGCTTAGGTAAAGTTATGAGATTCTTACTTTGCTCAATCTTATATGCCATCTTGATATTTCTTTAATGTAGGAGGTAAAACATTGCCTAAAAAAGAAACCTCAGCAGAAGACCACATTTATCACTGACCATCACATGGCTTGTCGTCTATTGTCAGCAAGACACCATGACATTAAAGAACTGAAAAATGAAGTGGCTGTTCTGTGGAATAAATTGGAGACATTTACTGTGGAAAATAAAATCTTGAAGCATATTCAATCTCAACATTTAAGAGCAATTAGTAAAAATAAAAATGCAGATATTAACCTGTCTGATCTTTTGGCCACGCAGTCTAATAAAGTGCTGACTCTGAGATCGCTTCTCAGGACATTTCAGGAAGAAGAGCGCAGGGCTTCCAACAAGCTGAGAGAGGTTCAGGCAGAACTCTTAAAAACAAGGGACGCCTTGCGGGCGTTGCAGAAATTTTCTGAAGACAATTAACATCATATACTCAAAAATTGGAAGCAGTGATAAGAGAATCCAGGTAACGTGCAACTTACATTGCTTAGAACAACATAGCTGGGCTCTGGGAGAGCCCTATAAAGAAATGCTTTAAGCTGACTTGCTTCAGCATGCAGTAGGGACCGTTCCCTACAGGCACCATCCTCAAGTCTCCAAGATTCCTTTGATATTGAAATTAACAGAAAACCTGCTCAAGCAGGAACATCAATTTTGCACATACAAAATTTAGAAACAAGAACAGCTTCCTCAAAGCTCTAGTTTCCAATGAAATCTATTTGTATTCAGATTCTTAAATTGTTATCCAGCAATTAGAGACATAAATGTGCTGCATTTGGTTTCCCACTTCAGTTCTTTGGGAGTTTCTTATTTGCTGGAAGAGATAATAATTTCAAATGTCATTGGCAGAATTGTGGCTCGTTGCACAGTCAGCCAGATGTCCAGACTGGATTTGAATTTTCATCCACCTATCCAGGCCTTCTCAAGGACCTGGCAGATGCGTTATTACTATGCTTCAGCACACAGTCAGCCAGATGTTATACTGGATGTGGCTTTTTATAACCTACCAAGACCTTCCGAAGGGCCTGGGTATGTTTGATAGTGTTAAAGGTATTGTCACAGGATGGAACCTGTGCCAAGGAAAGCTGCCTTTGGCAACTGACTGAGGGTGGTTTTGTCAGTGCCGATGGTATTTAAGTGGTGTCCTAGTTGTTTTGGGATGGCATCCAAGCCACCTATTAATTTTGCTCTCTTTTGCTACAATAATTCTAATTCTGTTTACTGGTCTTTGAATTTTGTTATTTTCTCCAATTCTTTCTCTGCTTTTCTGCTGTCTACAAGAATTGTCATATCCTCTTTCTGGACATCATCATTCTTATTCTTATTCATTTGCCACTCAACTTATGGTTCAAGGTGACCACTAGCTAAAGGAGCAACTATGTCTTCATTTTTTCCTAGCAGCATATTACAGGTAATGGTCACCCAACAACATTCACATAAAAATCCTTTAGTTTTCTTAGTTGTGTTTTTCTTAAAAACTGGATGGAAAAGGGAAAAATGCCCTGTTTGGAAAAATCTTACTGCAATTTAAAATTACACTATATCAGTTTCCTCTGACTTTTTGTTTGAAGTCTGTAATTAAATGCAGGTTTAAAAGCTTAAACACTAACTGGTATCTTCCTAAGAGAAAGTTACTTTTGGGATTGGAGAAAACTCCTGAGAAAACCATGGTCAGGCAAGAGAACAAATCAGTCAATCATCAAATAAATCAGCTCAGAGTTTTCACTCAAGGCACCAATGACCAGACTCAAATTATCCCACTTCGGACACATTATGCAAAGACCAAGCCCTCTGGAGAAGGTTCTAGCGCAAGGAAATGTGGAAGGGGAAAGAACAGGGTGACCCGCAGCAAAATGGATGGACTCGGTTACTGGAATGAAGAGTGCATCGTTGAAGAGTCTGAAGGACCAGATTACGAGCAGATAATGATGAGGTTGCTAAAAATCGATCAAAACTCCTTTCTTCTTCCAATTTTTATCACCTTGCCAAATGAACGTCCCCCGACGCTCCCCGGCCACACCGCGTTCGGCGTCCGTAGGAGCGGCGGGAGGACAGCCCGCCCGGCCCGGCTTCTTTCCCTGTGCGCTCTCTCTCTGGGTGGGGCGAGGCGAGGCGAGGCAGCGGGAAGGGACGGGAGGGGAAGGCCGACACAGCCCCAGGAGTCGCGGAGGCAGCCCGAAGAGCGGGTAGGAGAGAGAAGCCTGACGGCGCGAAAAACTCAATTTTGTGATCTTAGATTGTCCCAATAAACTTGTTCCCCTAACATGCATTTTACAGTTCTTTCTATCATATATAAATTTATACCCTCCATCAATTTACCCAGACCAAATTTCATTGTACTCGGTGGAGCCTACACTAAAGTAGGCATGCATATCTTTACATACTTTTTGGGGCTTGCTTGATAGGATAGATATTTACCAAGGAGAATTATAATATTTATAAAATGCTCTTAAAAAGTGGGTTTAATTTTGTTTTCTTTTTGATTAAATCAAGAAAAAGGAGCTGTTTCATAGGCCAGGATTGAGGAGTATTACATCCAGTAGAAAAACATAATTTATTGAATGACTGCAGTGAGGAGCGGGAAGGAAACTGGAGATGACAGAGTTATGAAAACGCCTCCTTAACGTCTGCCATCTTACCTTTTCCTTCCATTCAACTTTGCCTTACAAGTCCCATGATGCTCAGAGAAGAAGTTCTCTAGTTGCCATGGTAGCAAAGATCTAAACATCAACTTCTCTGCCAACGAAGCCCAAGAACTGGGTAACGTGAATAAACTGACCACGGGTAGAAGTCTCTGCCTGGCATCGTAGGAGGGAAGTGTAAACCCTGGATGCTTAGTGGGCACTTTGATTTCTGTTCTCTGGGCAATCGAGGAGTGCTTGTTTCGGGTTGTGGGTAAGCAAAGATAGCAACAGTTAAAGGGAAGCAAAAACACGTGGAAGATAAAGGACTGGTAGAAGAGCTCCTGCTAGGGACATGGAAAATGGAGCAGCTACATTTCCCCTCCAAGTTGAATTGTGCTGTCAACTTCTCTTATGTCCATTGTTTGGCTCGCTGAAACCGTGCAATTCTAACAACACATTTTCCTATGTCACCCATATTTAATTAGATGATTAAAGAACTGAAGTCAGAAATACCCCAAAATGATAGTGTTTATAAATATTTAGAAACTATTTTTAAAGCTTTTTATCTTCTTTATATTTTGTCTGTGTATGTTTGTTATCTGCATTTTTCAATAATGTACAGAGAATTTGGCACTTAGTCTAGAGTCTCAGATCTTTTCCCATATTGTTAAAATAATTTAATGTTCCTTTTTATAGTTTTATTTCTCATCCGTGATAACTGAGCGCTAACTGTACAACCTCTTCCTCAAATAGTTTTTTTCTTTTTCTCCTTTCATTTCTTTTTATCCCTTTTAAAAGAAGTGAAACTTCGTTTTTCACTTCTTTATTTTTTAATTTTGTTTTAAACATATATTTAAATATATGTTGTGCTCAGAAACTAATTTTTGACCTTGATTTATCAGGAAAATATTTTCTCTCTATGATGTTTTCCAAAAGTAGCTGGGGGAAGGAAATAATATTTCAACTCTTGAGCAGGGGGTTGGACGGGAAGACCTTTAACGTCCTTTCCAACTCCGTTATTCTGTTATTCAAATGTCAATCAAGGTAGTTTGTGAAATGTATTTTATTTCTTTATTGTAGTCTTTATTTTAGTCTTTTTAGCTCCCTTAAATGACTCAGGGCACTGGTGGCATTGCATATTGCATTCTGTGAATGAGAATGTTAAGAAAATAACATATTAATTAATGAACACATCAGTTCTTTAAGAAGTGAATAATATAATACAAGGGACCAAAACTGTGTTGATCTTTTTAGGCATAGAATCAGAGCAAGCAACATTTAAATGTATTAGATGAAGCCTTAAGTAAATGTTGACATCATACATTGTTTCTTTCATTATAGTGCAATTTCCTTTGGGAAATTTAAAGCATAATTGACAGTCTTTCCTGCCATTGGTGGAACGATGCCTTCTGATGACTCATCCCTTCATCATACCGTCCAAGGTAATAAGACATGTGGAGAATGTAGAAAAAGTGGAAGCTCAAATGATTCTCCAAGTAGGCTTAGTAAGACCAACAAACACAGTAAAGAGAGTAACTGTAGCAAAAGTTCCAGCCAGTCTGGAAGTGCTTAGCTTAACTTTTCCAATGACTTTTGTGATCATGCTTCAAGAAAGGCTGTTAAGGGCAGCAACAATAGCATTTGTCCAGAAGAGAAGGGGTGTTGTCTTACCTGAACACCTTTTCTCAGTACAGAGCTGTAGCATCCACCAATGGGTTTTCTCTGTCTGCCTGCTCTTGAGACCAAGTTAGACAAACTTGACATGCCCCCTGTTTCTAGGAGATCCAGTCTTGACGAGGGCGAAAGTGGCTGATGGTAGAACTAGGTGTTGGCTCTCAGACCCCTAACTCCAGCCTAACTGACCTAAGGGGTGGGTGTGGATTCTCAATCTCCATACTGAGAAAAGGTGATAGGTAAGACAAAACCCCTTCTCCAGTACAGGAGATGGAGAATCCACCAATGGGACATACCAAAGCCTCATTGTCCCAGTGGGTAGGAAACAGATAAGGCCAGCTCTACATTCCCAGAGACCACCTGCTGGAGGTCCCTCCGACCAAAGGAGGCATCCGCTGAAGCGAAGCAGTCAATCCTATAATGGCGTACAAATGGAGAAGGCGAGGATGATGTGGCAGCCCTGCAAATGAATGGACGCCTGACTGGCCCATGCCACAGAGGTCGCAGTGCTGTGAGTGGAGTTGGCTGTGATATGACTTGGAGCTGGCAGGGAAGAAGACTGGTATGCCTCCGCGATACAGGCCCTGATCCATCTGCCCATGGTGGAAGGGGACACCTTCTGCCCCAGGGAAGCCAGGAGGAAAGAAATAAAGAGGGCCTCTGACCGGCAAAATGGTGCAGTGCATTTAATGTAATGCCTCAGAGCCCTGCGAATGTCCAGTGTGTGCTACTGCCGCTCCAAGTCATGAGCAGAATCAGGGAAAAATTAGGCAAAATGACTTTCTGTGGTCTATGGAAGTGAGTTGACCTTGGGCATGAAGGTGGGATCCAACCGAAGGACCATCTGGTCCTGGTGGAAGACACAAAGATCATTCCTGATCAAGAGAGCAGCCAGCTCGGAAATACATCTGGCTGACGTGATGGCGATCAGGAATGCGACCTTGTAAGATAAGGCCCGTAATGGTATAGTAGTAATGGGCTCAAAGGGTGGTTTTGTAAGTGCATGAAGCACGTGAGGCATCTCCCAAGAGGGATATCTGTGTACCACGGGAGGTCTAGTATTGCATGCACCCTTGATGAAGGCGCGTATCCTAGGCTGGCGAGCTAGGGGGACTGAATTTGCGCAAGTGAGCAATGTTGATAGAGCCGCCACCTGCCTACAGATGGTCGCAGAGGCCAGGCCTCTGTCCAGACCTTCGTGAAGGTAGTCTACGATCTGAAGGATAGTCAATTGGTAAACATCCAGTTGCCACCTTCCGCATCAATGGCAAAAAATTTTCCAGGTGGAATCATAAATACGATTGGTCGCCAGCCTACGAGAGGCCTGAAACATAGTGATTGCCCATGGCGAGAACAACTCTTGAGTCATGATCTTGTTCTCAAGCGCCAGGTGACTAACTGTAACCATCGAGGGTCTGGGTGTTGGAGGACCCTCTGGTGTAAGGACACGCAATGCGGGGGAATCTTCCACGGGGGAGAACGGGAGATATTCATTAGGTTGGCAAACCAGGGCCTCCGTGGCCAGTACGGGGCCACGAGGATCACCTCCACTTGCTCTTGGAGCAGTTTGCGGATGGTCGCCAGGATGAGCATGGGGGAAGGCATAAAGTAGGCCCTCCAGCCACGGAGTCCACTGGGCGTCCGTCCCCTCCATCCCTGGGAAGTAATAGCAGAAGAAATACCTGGGGAGTGGGGCATTGCTCGAGGATGCGAACAGGTTGAGATCCAGTTAACCGAACCTTTGGGATATCTCAGAGAAAAGATCTGGATGTAGTCGCCATTCCGAGGGATCTATTATAGAGCAACTCAGAAAATCTGCCTGCCGGTTCTTCTCCCCCGAGATGTGATCAGCCCTTATGGATGCCAAGTTGGACTCTGCCCAGGATCCCAGCAACCGGGCCTCAGACATGAGGGACCTGGACCTGGTGCCCTCCTGCTGGTTCACGTGGGCCTTGAACGCCATGTTGTCCGTAAGGACCAATATGTGAAAGCCTCTGATCTGGTGGTGGAAGTGGCAAAGATCTAACTGAATGGCCCTGAGTTCCAGCCAGTTGATGTTGTGTCTCATGTCTGTGCGGGACCAATGGCCCTGCGCAAACTGAGACTGTAGATGGGCTCCCCAACCGAACAGGCTGGCGTCTGTCATGATGGTGAGGTGGACGGGCTCCTTGAAAGGTGACCCCTTGATAACCGCCTGTGAGAACCACCAGTGAAGAGACCTCAGGGTTTGGATCAGGAGCCTCACCTCCTGGCTAGATGCACTGTCGTTCAACTGCTGGAATGTTAGAAGGAACCATTGGAGCTCTCTCAAGTGGAATCTGGCCTAGGGAACTATGGCTATGCAGGAGACCATTTTCTCTAGTAGCTGAGAGAGCAAGACCAGTGGAACAGTGCGGTCCTTGTACACTCAACAAGCTAGGTCTCTGATGCTGTCCAACCGCTCCTGGGAGAGATAGACCATACAATTGTTGGTGTTTATGATGGCTCCCAGGTGCAGAAGTCTGGATGAGGGAACCGTCTGGCTTTTCCAGAGGTTCACCAAGAACCCGTGCTGTTGGAGGACCTGAATCGTTAGGTCCAGGTCTGACTGGGTCGCCCAGAAGGAGGATCAAGATGTCGTCCAGGTACCAATGGACATGTACGAGTGCCTTCCATAGATGGGCGGCAAGCACAGCCAGGATCTTGGTGAACATCCTGGGTGCCGAGGATAGGCCGAATGGGAGGGCCCTGTATTGGAAGTGATGGCCCCTGTAACAGAACCTGAGGAACCACTGGTGATCCGGGAGGATGGAGATGTGAAGATACGCTTCCGTGAGGTCTATTGATTCCAGGAAGTCTCTCTGTCTGATGCCTCCCAGGATGGACTGGAGTGATTGCATCTTGAATTTTTTGTAAGCGATGTAATAATTCAGACCCTTGAGGTCTAGAATTGCCCTCCATCCCCTCGAGGTCTTGGGCACCATGAAGAGAATGGAGTAGAATCCCCTTCCCCTGCAATCTGACGGTACTGGTTCTATGGCCTGTATTTCCAAAAGATGGTGAATGGCCTCCTGCATAAGCCCCTGTTTGATTGGATCCCGAGATGTGGGGCAGGTGATGAAATGACCCGGGGGACTGGACAGGAACTCGAGGGACAGGCCATATTGAACGGTCTGTAATACCCAGCTGTCCGTGGTTGTAACCCCCCACCAATGGAAGAAGTGGGTCAGCCTGCCCCCTATGGGGAGGGTCACATGAGAGTCACTTGGACCTCCTGAAGGGATGTCCTGTCCCTTGAAATGGCCATTTGTTTTGATTCTGCTTTCTGGGCCGAAAGCCTGCCCTGTCATACGGATGGTCATATGGGCAGTCCTGTCTAGGCATGAAAGAACGGGAGGGTTGGGTGGTTGTGAGCCCAAAGTCGGCCAAATGACTGCCTACAGGGATAAGGAGTGGCACGCTTGTCAGACCGTTTGGTGAGATGAGCCATGACCTTCTGCTTGTCCTTGTTTTTCACAAGGTATGAGTTCAAAGACTCCCCAAAGAAGTGGTTGCCTTGGTAGGGGGCGGTTGCAAGATGCCATTTGGCCTTGGCGTCAGCCTGCCAGTGCATAAGCCATAGCATCCTCTAAGCTATAACGTTGGAGGCGAAGAACCTGGAGGCAAAGTTGGCCGATTGAAGAGTTGGGTCAGACACACAGAGGTAGAAGCCTCCTGTCCAGGCAGTCGATAAGCCCATGCCGCGAGTGCCCGGTCTACAACTTTAGAGAGCAGGGCCTCAAGGCGGCCATTGGAGAAAATGTCTCCAAGTTCTGGGTCCCTGAGTCCAGCTGCCATTGGGGTGAAGGTGGCCTCAGGGACTGAGCGTGAGGATGCCGGTCCTCGAACTGTGGGTGGGTTGGCAGCTGTGTTCTGATCTGTCGCTGTGGTCGAGGCATCCACCAAGGACCACACGCCCTGAAACGAGGGTGACAGACCTAAAGGGAAGTCAAAATCTGGGGCCGCCAAATGATTTGTCTCCGGCCTGCCTTACCTCTGCGCTCTGGGGAACTCCTTCTCCAAAGCCTGCTACCTGCAGCTGGCTTGCTTCTCCGCCAACTTGGAAGGCTTTTTCAGGGTGGCCTTAGCCTTGTTCTTGAGCTTACCTGCTGTCTCCTGTTTGGAGGTTTGGAGGATTTGTGCCGGCTGTAACTTGAGGACAGGGAGGTGGTGCTCATGAGATGAGGCCTTAGTTGGCCAGTCAAGGTGCACCAGAAAGTCCAAAGAAGGATGCAGAGGGCCTGAATTGAAGGCCTGGCAGGGGAACCTACAAAAGGAGAGTTTACTCATGAGCTCAAAATTGCTGGCTGAGAATGGCCGAGCATCCTTCTACTCCAGTTAAGGACTGCATTAAAACTGATTAGTCTAATTGCTGGCAGTCCTAAAAACCAATCCACAGAAGAGAGTGAAAAGTGCCCCTACAAGCAGACCACCATTGTGGGCTGAATGATCAGCAAAAAGGGCTTGGTCAAAATGACAGCCACTCCGAATGCTCCGTGTGAAGCCAGGAGCCCTTCCGCCGACCCCACTAGCTGGAAACTTAATTTTGGAAGGTCTGTGAGGGGAACCTGCTTTAATGAGCAAACGGCTCATCTTTGGTTGCCAGACGCTTCGGCGGCACCCAAAATGGCGGCCGCAACTTGCCAGCCATTGGGGAAGCTGCCTGAAGCCTCCTGGGGTCATTTACACTGAGGAGCTGGTCGGAGCAACAGCACAAGGGATCCCATGAATGAGGATAGAAGGAAAGGAATTCACCCAGAGCCCTGGGGAAGGAAAACAAACACAAAAAAAATGGCTGCAGTCACCCCCCCCCAACCAAGCCTCAGATCATCTGATCTGAGGCAGCGCTGATCCCATCACTTCTGGAAGAGAGATGGAGTGTGAGGAGAGGATCAAAGAATCCACCAACCTGCTGAATTTGAAAAGTAAGAGGAGAATCCAACAATGGAAAAACTATCTGCTAGCTAGTTAAATAGAGACCCAAACCTGATACGTCTTCAAGAGCTTGAGACCAAGTCAAGATTGGGTCTCCTAGCAACAGGGGGCATGTCAAGTTTGGCTAACTTGGTCTCAAGAGCAGGCAGACAGAGAAAACCCATTGGTGGATTCTCCATCTCCTGTACTGGAGAACAGTTGTACAACTTTTCCGAACTTCGATTACAAATTTGGATGATCACTCTTCCATTCTTTTTCAGTCCATTACTTTCAATATTTTATCAGTATTTAGATATGCTGTGTGTGTGTGTGTTTGTGTGTGTGTGTGTGTATCTATCAATCAGTCTGTATAGGGAGTTTTGAATAGTGTTTAGAGTGTTGGCTTAGCAATCCTACTTTAGGCATGACTGGTTGAGGAGTTCTATGAGAGTTCAGGTATGATTTTTCACAATGGGTCAATCCACAAATAATTGCATTAGAGATTGACTCAAGAAATTATATAAATGGAATTGAATCTATGTGATGAATTCACCTTTGAGTGTTTGGCTCTGAGCCGTATGTAAAAATATGTGATCCTTACTTTGCCAAATCTTATTTGCCATCTTGATATTTTTTTTAACGTTGGAGGTAAAACATTTCCTGAAAAGAAACCTCAGCAGAAGATCACATTCACGACTGACCACACTATCAATACTCAGGAAAAAAATAACATGGCTTGCCGTCTATTGTCATCAAGAGACCATAAAATTAAAGAATTGAAAAATGAAGTGGCTTTTCTGAGGAATAAATTGGAGACCTTTGCTACGGAAAATACAATCTTGAAGCGTCTTCTCAGGACATCTGAGGAAGAAGAGCGCAGGGCTTCTAAGAAGCTGAGAGAGGTTCAGGCGGAACTCTTAAAAACAACGGACGCCTTATTGACTTTCCAGAAACTTTCTGAAGACAAGAAACATGGAGAGAGAGGAGAACCTTGTCCTAAATTAACATCACTTCCCCCAAAATTGGAAGCCAGTGATAAGAGAATCCAGGTAATATGCAACGTACATTGCTTAGAACAACCTAGCTGGGCTCTGTGAGACCCCTATAAAGAAATGCATTAAGAAACAAGAACAGCTTCCTCAAAGCTCTATTTTACAAGGAAATCTATTTGTATTCAGATTTTTAAATATTTATCCAGCAATTAGAGACGTAGATGTGCTGCATTAGGTTTCCCACTTCAGTTCTTTGAGAGTTTCTTATTTGCTGGAAGAGATCATAATTTCAAACGTCATTGTTAGAATACTTTTTCCCAAGCTTTAGAATAATAGTGATAATAGTGATAGGCGGTGACCAGTCTAGCTTTAATTTCCTGACACAGACTAGCTTGTCCAGCTGTATGACTTTTTACCAATGACTTCTTTCTTCAGTCCATCTCTAGGAAAATAGATGCAATAGGATCTTTTGGTATAATGCTAGCTTTTTACAAACCTTGTATCAATCCTTGAAGAAAAGGAGTAGCTGCACAAATATGCAATGAGGAAGATTTTGGTAATAAATTTTCATATCCATTAACGAAATCAAAATCTCAAGGTATAAAAAGACATTATTGAAAAATAAGAATGTAGGAAAACAAGAAGATTATAAATAGACTACTTGTATTAAAATTGATATTAGCTAAGCTAATTACTGATAAATCTTAGTTTCACTACACAATCCAAGTTGGATGTTGAAAAAGACTACCGGGGTGTTTTGAGTGGATGTTGGGCAAAACTTCTTGCTCTTCACACTTCCTTTCATTTTTGTACATTAGGCTTAGTTTTATAGAAAAATGAGATTTTTTGTAAGAATGACTCTTCCTTTAATTAGTCGGTTGATGACATTGGCCGAATCAGCACGTTGAAAATTATATATTGGTTAAACGTATCAGACTTAGCATCATACCAAGCCAAAAAATAAAGCATATTATGGCTTTATTAGAATTGAAATGAACAAGTTTTTACTCTTGTCTTCTTCTCTTCCTCCTCCTTCTCCTCCTCCTCCTCCACACCTCTTTATGTTAGCATTATAATACATATTTAATACTGTTTCCACAAAAATAAGACCCAGTCTTATATATTTTTTGTCTCAGAAAGAGGCATTATGTCTTATTTGCAGAGGATGCCTTATTTTTTTCCCTCACAACTGCCTCGCCTTGCTGTGGCATCACAAACATCCCTGTCAAGCAAAATCTTGGGTGTCTGCTCACCCACTGCATGTCAGTGCTGCTGCCACCAGTATAGGTGTAGGGAAGGGGAGAGATTCCCCCTGTGCCCCACACCCACTTAATTCAGGGTCCCCTCAGCCAAGTCTTCCACACCCCACCACCTGCCTTGCCTCTTAGAAATCCAGGCCTAATCACTACAGATGCAGAGGGGTAAATGGAGAAAAGCTGATTCATCAGATTTATTAAAAAAAAAAGACAGGCAGTGATTCCCTTTCTTCCGCATGGCAACTTGAAGAGTGCGGCCCAGGTTTTTTCAGTGGTAGGCTGAGCATAGCACTTGAGGCCTTTGTATACAAACCACACCCATACACAGCCTCCTGAAGTGGCCCCTGATTCTTCCATCCTGGGCCCCTTCCACTGTCTCATCTTCTTTCTGCTCAGTGCCAACATCATTCCCAATGGCTACATGGGGGTGTCTGTTGTCTTCTTGGCCACCATTCCCAAGCAGTGTTGCCAAGTGCCTGCTAACACCAACCTGAGCATCGTGTGGCTCAATGCTAGCATCCCCCTGGATAAGCACGGTGGGCAGCTGGTGTAGTTCTAGTGCAGCAGCTACTCCCTCAAGGCCCTGCTCAACTTCTCTGCCAGGAACCTGGAACCCAGGCATGATGTCACTCTCAGACATTATCATGGAGGTAGGCAGGAGCTAGCTCACTTTTGGAGCCTTGGAGACATGGCAGGGGAGGCTTGCATCGCCTGGTCTCAGCGCAAGCTATGGGACAGTTGGCAGTGGAGGAGGAGGTGGCAGATGCTGCTGGGCAGGTGATCTGCAGAGGGAAGAGGGGTGGCCAAGACCCAAGAAAATTCCTCCAGAGGTGCATGCGGCACTCGAACAGCAATAGCAGAGCCTTTCACCATCATTCCTCCCTGGCTCTGAACCGGCAGAGGGGGACCGAGAAAGATGACCGAGCCTCCCCCACACATATTCCATAGCATGGCAGTCTGGCTCAGAAGGGGATTGAAACCGAAAGGCAGGTGGGCAGAATAGGCAGGTTGCCAAGAAAGGAGTGGCCTGACTGCAGGGACCCTGAGATGCACTGGTGCAGGGCATGTGGGCAGCTCCACCTGCCTCTTCTCATCTCATGGCAGCGGCACCAATGAAATCTGGATGGAGTGTCTTGACTAGGGCTTAATTTTGGGGTAGGGCTTATATTAGGGGCATGCATGAAAATCAGGCTAGGGCTCTTTTTCGGAATAGATCTTATTTTTTTGGAAAACACATTATATACTTTGTTAAAGTCAGAACTATTTTGTATCAATATATTTGGGAAGGACCTTTAAGGTCAAATTGAATTAATGGTTTATGAATTGTAAAAATTAAAAAAAAAACTGGTAAAAAACTTCACAGTTCCAGGAAAAAAGGTTATGTATCTTTCAGAATCTTTAGAAAAGGAAGAATTTGGCCAAATTATGCATTAGCAAAGAATTAAAATACGGATAAATGAGATACTGGGGGGAGTTATGCAAGTGAAATGTATCATCTCTGAAGATCTGACATTAATACAATAAACTATATTATCAACATAAATTTAATAATGCATTTGTTTAAGAAAGAGAACAAGAACTAAGCATAACATATTTATGCAGATGCAGAAACGTCAGCCAGAGAAAGGTGATTCCTCTTCTTTTCCAAAAGGTAGCACAGATTTTCTTTCAGATTTTATTGTGAAATAAAAATATGATAACTCGTTTGACTCATCAAAAAATATTTCAAATCCTGGTTTAGTTTGCAGCAAAGTAGAAGTCACAGGCAAATTTATTTATATATATGTGTGTCAAATTTATATAGCATACCTGCCCATCACACTAGAACTACCTATAGTACAACATAGTATAGCTAGTATAGCTATTTGCATTAGTATCTAATAAAATGCAATAAAAGTGATATGAAAGCATAAGAATTAAATCACTTCAAACATGTCAGTAAAATATCACTTGCCTTTCACTGATGTCAGTCATGAATGTGTCATGTTTATTTATTTATTTTTGACTTTTCATACTTGTTAAAGTCAGCCAAGCAATACGAGGAAAGATCAGCCTAAAACCCAGGACTCTTGGGAAGCGTGAACCTGAAGGAAGTCGAATGACCTTCCACGAGGTATGGAACAGCTGAAAAAGCCTTTTATCGTTCTTAACTTCTGATTGTTTGTAAGTTTTGGTTCTGCTGATTTGCCATCTTCTTGTAACATGCATCTTCTACTTTTTTTTTTTTTTTTACAGAAAATCTATTACTATGTTATAAACATAACGTTGTTGCCAGAAAGGAAGCTCAGGGATGCAACTTGAAAATTTCTTATTGTATTAATAGGAAATTCTTGGGATAGTTAAGAAAATGTTTTAAGACATGGGATAATGTGTGGATTGTGATAATATTTTATACTGATCCATGGTTTGATTCTGGTTTGCTGAAGAAATAATGTCTACTTCATCCTCTCTCTTTCCTGGCTATTCTTATTATGCTAGGAATGGCTGCTTCTTTCCTCCCTTAATAACTTTGTCCTTCTTTTGAGCAGGGTCTTGGGGACTCTGTTGATACAGATAGTCAGAGTGATATCTATATACTATTAAAACTCTCTGGTTTGTCTCTGTGTAAGTGTTAAATGGGCAAAATAGTGTGTCGTATGGCAATCATTTTTAAACCAAGATACCTGAAATGGGCTTATTTACACTGCAAAATCTGGAACCCATGGCTTCTGTGGAATTGAAGTTAGGCAAAATTTATCAACCATTTTATGACATAAAATTATCATAAGACATATTAGAACATAATACAAAATGTCACAAAATATTTCCTTTGGTCAAATGCTGATCTTTGACCATGCTATATAGTTCAACATTTCAATATCTCCATGAATTTTTAACAACTTTTCTACTGTAGACAGTACATTAGAAGCTCTGTTATTGTTCAAGGCATTGAAGAAAATGGTAAGGTGATATCTCTGAAAAAATGACCCAATGGCTTGTGGATTCTCTGGCATTAACTGTATAGGACAAGGAAGTTCTCGTTTCAAGTCCACCTTCATTCACAATACCTTAGGCAACTTTGGTATTTAGTGACTATCAAATCAATCAAATTAATAACCTGGATTGGAGGAAATATGGAAGTCTTGAAGAAAAAGTGAGATATACATCTAAGAAATAAATAAAATAAAACTTTTATTTATTTATGTTTCCCTAACTTGGATTATCACTTTAATCTATGTTAATGCAATAGGAGAGTTTAGGGAGAGGTTAGATCAGCGGTTCTCAACCTGTGGGTCGTGACCCCATTTGGGATTGAACGACCATGGCAGTCCGCCATTTTTTTCCCCTTTTCCTTAGCTGTGCTACTCCCTTTCATTCTATTGGCTTTTGAAAGCCAATAGAATAGACTTTCTTGAATAGAGTCTAATTCTATTGGCTTTCAAAAGCCAATAGGAATTGTCCAGGCTGTCTCTGCCCTGCTGAGCCCATCAAAAGTCCCATTCTGCAAATGGTGCTGCAAGATGTCTGCAGCGAAGGCGAGCTGTCTGGAAGTTTCCACCCCTCCCTGCTGAGCAACTACTAAAAATGTAAGTAAAATAGGGCCAGGGGTAGGAGGTGGGAGGCCGGTGGGCGCAGGGAGGGTTGCTCGCGAACGTGGGGCCCGGCGGGTGCCTTACCTCCCTTGGACTGGGCCAGCTGGTGGCCCAGCCGGTGGTCGGTCTGCTCTGTCTCTGCCGCTTGCCAGCTACGCCTCAGCCGGCACAGGGGGCGACACCATGCATGCACGGTGCTCCTGGGCAGGGAAAGTCCTCGACTTACGACTGGTTGGGTAGTCCTCGACTTACGACCTGTTTAATTCTCAATTTACCACCGGTTGAGTAGTCCTCGACTTACGACCG